GTGGGAAATGTTTATAAGAGACAGCTTTTTCAGGGTGTGGTGATTACTTTTCGTTGAATTTCCCCGAATGCCTCGTGCTTCTGCATCAATCTAAATTTCCAGTTGGAAAAGGGGAAAAAGGGAAAAAAAAAAGGCAAAAGGAAAAAAGAAACAAAAAAAAAGAAAAAAAAAAAAAAAAAAAAAGAAACTAAAAAAGAAACAAAAACAACACAAGCTCCAGAAGAAGCGGTGACGCCTCCAGGCTGCATCAGCGAGAAAAGTGGCACCACAAGCCTAGAGCGGATGAGAAATTGCGAGCTATCAATTTACGAAATCAGCCCGGTGCTTTTGCTCAGCCGGGCCTAAATTGATTAGCCGCTCCATCCAATCTATTTACGTGGCACAAAAAGACCAAAACAAATCCAGCCAAATCAAAACAAATGCCCCCAAGAGAGAAAAAAAAGAGAGATTGACATCCAATGAGCGGTGTCGGCCCGTTCCCTTACCCAATCCCCCCCCTCTCATCCCAATCCATGGTTGTCTTGTCTTTCTATTTCTTGTTTATCATTCTCTCTCGGATAAGATCTAACATTTCCCCCCGTTCCCACCCCCAGGTATCGTGAACCCACTTCTCGCTACGAACCTTCACCTCGCAAGCCCGTCTACGACCAGGCACTTGAATCCCAGCTTGACATCACTGAGCGAGAGTATCGTCGTCGTACAGACCCTACTTACGACGTCAGCGTCTCGTCCGGCCGTCGCCACCAAGCTCCCGTAGACTCTTACCAAGCCTACCAGCCCCAACAGACTTCCGACGTCTCTGTCCAAAGGTCCAAGACCGAGATCGACGTCTCCTACGACAAGGCCTTTTCTCCTAAGCCTCTCGAAACTCACAAGGGAGACTCCTTCAGCCGCCGTGAGCTTACTGTAGAGTCTGTTCCTGCTCGTCCTTCCTCCGCGGCTTCTATTTCTCAAGTCAAGGTCCTCAAGCCTTACACCGCCATCGATCAACCCCCTGCTCGCAAGATGGGTTACTACGACGACGACGGTAACTACCACTCCTTCCGCCGTGGTGTGGAGCGTGCTGTCGACCGCATCGCGCATCCATTCCACCACCACCATCATCACCATGATCGTGAGGAAGTAGTCATCGCTGACGAACGTGGCCCAGTTCGTTACCGTGATGGCGTCCGTGAGGATGTCCGTATCGTCGAGCCCCGCGCCGGCGGTGTCGCTGCGGAATCCGTCCCCATCCCCTGCCACTTCATCCGCATCGGCGACATCCTGATTCTCCAGGGTCGTCCCTGCCAGGTGATCCGGATCTCCGTCTCCCCCCAGACCGGCCAGCACCGCTACCTGGGTGTCGACCTTTTCACCCGTCAACTGCAGGAGGAGTCCAGCTTCGTCTCCAACCCCTCTCCCTCGGTTGTTGTTCAGACCATGCTCGGTCCCGTCTACAAGACCTATCGCATTCTGGACCTCCACGAGGATGGTAGCATCACCGCCATGACCGAGACTGGTGATGTCAAGCAGGCCCTGCCCGTCGTCACCCAGGGTCAGCTTTTCCGCAAGATCCGCGAGGCTTTCTCTGAGGGCCGCGGTAGCGTCCGTGCTCTCGTTATCAACGATGGTGGCCGTGAGCTCGTCGTTGACTACAAGGTCATCCACGGTTCCCGTCTGTAAACCCTCTAAGCCTCTTTGGGCTTAGGCAGCTTGGGAAACTGGAACAGGTTAGTTTATCCGCTTTGTCACCCATGGACTATGGTTACTTGCCTTGACCCAGGGGAAATCATATCACGTGATACTGACGTCAGTCATCTAGTTACGAATCTTCTACCTGCTAAGCGAAAATGATAGTTCACATGATATGGGCAATTGCTTGTATCTGACATGATGGACCCTACACGATTGGAATGGCCTCTTGATGAAAAATGAAAAAGAAGAAATACAAGCGCGACCTTTTTTTTTTGGTTCATTCCGGATTTTCTTGTATCAGTCATGGCCACCTTCTTGTAACTACAGCTAGATCATAATGCTACTTATGTCCCCTTTACCGTGTACTTAAATGCATTCTCTAGTCTTGCAATTACACAGCGTCAATCCAAATTATGCTGTACCGCTCTATCGGAGATTAATCGTCATCGTCCTATCAATTGAAACATTCAATTCATATAGTTCACTTAGCAAACCAGAGTAGCATCGACATCAACAATATATACCAAACATAATAAGAGCAACCAAGCCTGTCCGTTCATCCATATACTCCTGACCTGACCTGCCGAAACAAAGAAAGAAAACCTATTTTGACAGCAATGAGTTGATTGTGTACAACCTGCGCCTTCCCCTCTCTGCGAGCGCATAAGAGACTCGTAGCAAAATCAAATAGCAAAGGTGGAAGCGAGAAGAGATAAGAACTTAAAAGATAGGCGAAGGGAATGAAGAAAAGAGGAGGATGAACCAAGACCGACAGTACGTCTGCCCAGGAGCACCCCCACTCCGGATCCTGAAAGAAAAGAAGAGCAGAAAAGCTACTGCTGAGGACAAGAAGAGCACGGAAGTGACATCAAAAGCAGCATGCGCCAAACGCATAACCAGTGTATCATGGTAGAAAGCATTATCCGAAGCGGGGCGTGAGGAGATGATTCAACATGTCACATCCAGGTCGAGGATCAGAATGTTGGATCACTTTGGGGGAGAAACGTGCAGATGCCGTGAAATCCTGGTAACGCCGTAAGTCGATCAAGTTGCAAAAAAGGGATGATCCAGAAGCCATATTGTACATGTCCACATGCGAAGAGAAGAGACGAACAGGGTATCGTTTATAACAAAGTCCCAAGTGAACTCGGCCAAGGAGGGAGGCATATATATACTCATGAACAAGAATCGAGGATGGACATCCTCGGGTCAGAAAGGGTCGACAAGGATTGTCACCTTTCCCCGAACTTGCCATATTCCTGTTGCCACTTCAAAAGATGGCGCGTGAGGACATCCATCATTTCAACGCTGCTCAGATCTTTGAACTCTTTCTCCTTGGAAGCCTGACCAGATCCTGCTTCGCCATCAATGCTAGCTGTTCCTGACTCCACTTCGTTGGTATTCGAAAGTGATGTAGTCTCGATTTGATCGACCGTTGCCTTTGTGAGAGAGCCATTTGGTTGGTCCCCATTCCCTGGAGGGGTGGAAGTTTCGCCGGCAACAGCCATCTCGACCTGCATCCGGGAGATGAATTCAAGGATTCCGGCAACTCGTCTCTTCATCTCGTTCATGGTAGTCCGTTGAGGGTTCATGTAGCGCGGCCTGCTCGGTTTTCCAGAATCTACATTATGATGCGCTCCGTTGACTCCACCCACTCTCGGCGAGTCCCCACCGATATCGTGCGATTGCCCCCGTCGCGGAGAGTCAGCCCCATTCATATCTCGATCCCTCGTATATTGGTTACGTCCGACCCGGCCACCACGGCGCGCAGGTGGGCGGCCTGACTTGCGGGTTGACGGACGAGAGGGAGCAGGTTCCGGAGGAGGTGCAGCGGTTTCTGGGCTAGTTTGAGGAGGCTCGGGGTCCGCAGTGGCTTTGATCGGCGATCCCATCTCATGGTCGGCATCTGCTCGTTACAAATGTGTTATGTCGAGGAATCTCAAGATAACTTCAGGGCTCATACCTGCACCATTTCGCCTCTCCGATTTTCCATTCTTGCGGCTCGCAATCTCTGCGGGGTCTGTTTCGGGTTCTTCTGTTTCTTTGATCTGCTTTTCACGTTGACCTCGCGGTGCCACCCTAAGATTTTTTGTGCCGTTGCCATTAACTTTCGACTTCGACTCATCTTCTGACGCAGGTTGAGATTCTGTATTCTCTGGTTTTGAGATAGCGCTTGGTGATGGGGAGCTTGTACGCGGGCGCTTCGTCACCTGCTTATGACTAGAGGGAGAAAACGGGTCAGCAGCAGGACCAAAGACCAATGTTACTTGGGAAGGGCAGTCATCGCAATAACTTACGCTTCGCTGTCACTTCGACTCCGCTTGCCTCGTCGGACAGCAATGTCCTCTGCAGCGGGCTGAGTATCTTCCTTGCTTTCCTCGATCGCTCGCCGGAGCTGCTCCTCTTCGTCATAAGCAGCATCACGACTATTCATCGTTGATCTGCGTTTGGGGTTGGCAATCGATTCGCTCTGACGTGATTTGGAGTCTTTCGAACGTCGCGAATTATCACGGGAGGAGTCACAGGAGGTTGCAGGAGAAGGCGGGTCTGGGGCGACTGGGAGATACTGCGAGGAGTATTGTCTGCGAAAGTGTAAGCACGAAGACCACACATTTGAAAGATGTTTCCATGTAAGAGCATCGCGGTTGAGGTGCGTGAGAATTTAGAGCATTGGCTCAGCCTCGACGGATAAGGAAGAGCCTGACGGTATCTTCCGGGCAATCCAAGGCCGAATAGATGCAGTAAATCATTATATAAGAGCAGATCCTTGAAACGAAAGTAGAAAAACGTTTTAGGAGACATACCCGTTGGACTCATTCTTGATTTTGTGAAGATCTTTCCGACACTCCTCACAGAAGTACTCGTCGGGACTCATCGCTTCATCCATAATTCCCACGCAGCCACCGTGTTGCCAAACCTTGCAGGAATCACACTGGATGAACATGCTACCGATGTCGTCGGACATCAGGTCCGATGAATCTGCAGAAAGGTTCAAGGTATGTTGATCCTTGAATCCAGCAGCCAACCCGTTGCGACCGAGAGCCTCCCGCCGAGAGGGAGGCAGGCCTGGGTAGTCTTGCTGCCCACAGAGACATCTGGTGATCTCTTCTTCTTCGTCACCCTCTCCGTCTTCATCCTCATCTTCCTCCTCCCCATTCAATCTCAAATTGTCATCGTCTCCCCGGGAGCGCTGGCGCTGCCGCGTCTGTGGGTAGTCGTTTCTTGTGGCGCCGTCCGCGTCATCAACAGACTGAGACCGTTGGGTCGAAGATCTCTGAGGCGAAGAAATTTTATGGTTCGATCGAGTGCTTCTTTCGCGAGTCAAGGAATTCGACGAGCTGGAGGAATTTGTATGCTGAAGAATGGCGGGCGAGGGTTGGGAGGTGCGGGCACGAGAAGAGCGACGAGGAGTCATGGTGGAGCACTGCGATGCGAATGAAGTGAAGATGAGACAAGTAACTCTGACAATGGGAACGAATATTAAGTATATGCTAAGTATATAAGAGTCAAGCCCGGCAAGATTATGAGCAGATGCTGCCCATGTGCGAGCTGTCGCACGCGGGTAAGAAGCTGGGATTCGACAGCGACGGCTCGTAGGAAAGGTGAAAAAAAGAGAGCAAAGGACCGGCAAGGCAAAGAGTAGGAGCTGCCGATTGAGACACGAGGTTGAAAAAAAGATCCAAAAAGTAGCATCTGCGAGCTCGAGTCTGAGCCGAGGACTACATAGTCTGCAGATTTCTATTTGTGAGGGTGGAGGGGAGGAGACAAGGGAAGAATGAGATGGGGGGGAGTTTAGTAGCAGTAGCAGTAGCAGTAGCAGTAGCAGTAACAATGAGAATCTCAGTCAAAAAGCGGTCCGCAAGCGGGTTTTCTTTTCTCTCCTCTCCGGGCTTTCCCCGCTCACCATCAACTAGGTCTCTTCTTGCGCCCACGAACCTCAAGACTCAACTATTCACCACTGGGATCAAAGTAACTCCTATCATCTTCTTGATGATGAATTTACTTCGCCTGGGCTCCTTAGAGCAGAATTGCTCGCGATGGTATATGACGGAGACTGCTGACCTAGCTTGACAGAACCGATGATGGCATCGTCCATTCCTCCGTCCATTCCACTAGAAGACCCCGCTTATCAATCGTCGACCGCACGCAACGTCCACATCCTGCCTCCTTACTACTTATCGATTCGAACTTGAACAAAGAATAGAGCTGAGTGAATTCATAGGGTGGATTGTGAAACTGAGTTTTTCTACTATCCTGGTAGTTAGAGGAATTGTCGCGAGGGAGCGGTCCTCGATGACAGTTCAGGGGAACGTTAATCCTTGCGGATGCTGTCATCATACAGGAAGAAAGCCTCGTTTCATCACCGCAGTTGCTAGCCGACTCTAAAAGAACTCGACAAAATTGTTCAGCTATGGGAGACCGGTCCCCATCTTGCTTCTCCTGCTCTACGAGTGTATGAGCATTCAGCCCTCGGCAAAGTGCCATAGCGTGTTCCTGCAGTAATGGTTGCCAATAGAAGGAGAACATCACACAAGGTAACCGATGTATGGGAGCTCTCCTTGAGTCAGTGCATGATATGATACCTGTTTCGATTCACAGCTTGCAGATGGGTAAGATATAGAAGCATGTAATCAATAGCAGGACTCGATTATTGAACTTGCCATCCACTGGAGCATTTTCACAACGGCTGAGATGTCCAGTGAATGTCGTGTGAAAACAAAAATCGTCCTGCTACATAATCATTTAATCGATTGAAAAGCACTTGCCAACTCATCTCCAGAAACTATTCGTAGAAAGTGTGTATCTTGCTTGCGATGGAGACTGACACTTGGAGATGTTCAGTCCCGAAAAGGAATAGTGCTGTGTGAGGCCTCAGGCGCCGAATCGTAGCCTCAGGGCGAGAACCAAAAGAGCGGACAATCACTACTATCATGTACGGAGATAGCTTGTTATGGTCAATTTCACCCCTCCATCGTCCATCGCCCTTTTCCTGTCCTATCAATAGCTCCCTTTGATTGGGAATACATCTTTTACTTGCTATTCCCTTCTCCTGGTTTACTTCTTCTCTGAGCTCCTGGATCTGTGCAGACCTTCGTGACAACAATCGGGTTTCTACTGGATCTTTCCCGAACCTCTCGTTCGGCTATTTCTCCAAAAACTTTGCATGGGGTTCCAGTGCTGATTAATGGTCACTCATTTTGTAAGTTGCGTCAAGCTCCGTGAACAATATATACTATTGGGGTTGCCTTGGCTTTCTCGCTACCTGTTGCTTGATCTTGATCCGAGTCTTGATTACTCTTGAAGTTCTCTGGGGTCTGCCAACAGTGACAACTAACTTGTGGGTGCCAAACCACTTCGGTTTAGGTTCCTCTCCGTTCTCATCCCACCCCCCTCTCTTTCCCTACTCGGTATTCGCAACGCGACCAGCAGAACGTCATAGATTCTTGACCTCGAAGTGTTTCTGGCTTGAGGGACGAAGAAGAGGTTGACAAGCAAAAATAGAAATACCCGAGAGTCCCAGAGGACGTTTAATACCTAGTTGTGGGGCACGGTGATTCAGGGGACAGGGAAAAGGGAAAAAAAGCCAGCCCGCCGTTCGGCCGTGGTCGTGGACGGTTACTGAGCTGAGATACCTGCATGACGATGACTGCTACGTTGAGTATGTTCCTCTCACCAAGGATGTCTTCTCTTCTGGACGTCTCATCATGCCGTTCCAGCACCAGCCGGATGGGGAGTTTCCGGAGAGGAGAGAAGACTACTGTCAGCTAGATCCGTTGCTGATTCTGTCCGCCTGCAGATGGGATGTATAACTCAGCTCCAGATACCCCGTCGCCTGTTTATCCGGACAGGCTCATTCGGCCCCTTCCTAAACGGACCCTACGGTCTCGGTTATCCACCGAGGCCGCCGACTCAATCCTCTACCCTCCCGCTCCCCCAGCGACCCAACTCTTCTACGGGACCTCTGCGGATCATGGAGAAGTTGTGAATGACACCAAAGTCTATGTGCAACAAAGCCTAGAAACGGACGCGCATGATCATATTTCCGAGCGAGAAACACACCACACCTATGAGAACAGCCTTGATCTAGAGAGCGGTGACGAGGACGGTCCTGTAGTGGTTCGTCGAAGTGCCGGTTTTCGCGGGTCGTCTCTCTCGCCCTCTGCTGCTAGAATTCAACCTCATGCACTTTCTGGCAAGGTAGAAGGGTCACAGATCAAGTCTTCCTCGACAGGTCCCGACGGGTATGATGCCTTCGAGAACACTAACAACAAGAAGAAGCGCAAAATTCCCACTCCCGGCAATTTGGGGAGTCATCATTCCACACTCTCCCCTGAATTTTCAAACATGGGTCTGGCAAGCTCCGCACAGGCATCGTCGACCACGATCAATGAAGCAAATAACGTTGGCACGTACTATGGTACCGGCAGCCCCGCGTCTCCAGGACTTGGTGGTATTTCGGGTCCCGGTAGGGGTCGTCTTGGGCGGCATCCATCTCGCAGTGGTCCTTCAAGAAACTCCCTGTCGGTCCATTCTCAGATTGGCTGGCCCGCGGCCCGAGCAGCAGGTCGCCGGGATGGCTTATTATCCACGTCGGCACCCGCAGGTATTTTCTATCCCTCCCCGTTGGACTTTGACACATCCCGGTGATTTTCACTCACTTCGTGCTTAGGTGACCCTACAGCAAAGTCCGACCAGGGTATCATTTCCGCCGCCATAGCGAACGCTGCGGCCTTTTCTTCTCCTCCACGAGGCCAGGGGGGTGCCAGCTTGCTTGAGCAGCAAACAACGCCAACCAAGACACAGTTCACCTTCACCTGCGAGTCTGATTCGTCGAAAGGTATGGCTTTGCAGGCACAAAGTCTGTACCCAGCACCGCATCGTTCGTCCGCGCCGCTCGCCCCGACAACTCAAACCCAGCGAGGCTTCTCGACACAAGGAACCCAAACAAGCCCAAATATGACGGCGCACGGGAATCAACAACAACCTCAACATCCACAGCAGCAAGCCCCTGGTGCCGAATCACCCGGTACAGGCAAAAAGAAGAAGCGGTCGCCGGGAAGCATTTATGCATTGGCAGCACGTCAACGCAAGATTCAGCAACAGTATGCTAATCTCCATCATCCTCCGAGTCTCGAAGATATCTGGATCTGCGAATTTTGCGAGTACGAGAGCATTTTTGGTCGGCCACCCGAGGCCTTAATTCGGCAGTACGAGATCAAGGATCGCAAAGAGCGGAAGCGACTGGCGGAGAAGAAGAGACTGCTTGAAAAGGCCAAGATGAAGGGCCGCAAGGGCAAGAAGGCCACTAAAAATGCGGCGAAAAGCGCGGCGGCTCATCAGACGGTATATGACCAAGGATACGATCGCGCATCCGTCGATCATTCCTCTGTCGCCGGACATGGAGCGCATGACGACGACTATTTAGGTCATGAGTACGACGATGAACCCATTCCTATGCCACCGCCTGCACCGCCCAATTCCTTCAAGACACCGCCGCCCCCCGGACATCTAGTCAAGCCAACGTCTCCCCCGCCGCATATTCAGGCAAGCATAGATGCGGCAAGTACCCGACCACCCTGACAATGGGCGCGAACGGCCTTGGGGGTACACACCATTCGCAACGTCTTCCTACTGATTTTATTTTCGAGGGCCATTCGGATGGTGTTCGAGTGGTACCTTTACCCCCATGATGAGGGTCGCTGCTCATTTCCCTTTGTTTTAACTGTTTTTTTGGCGTCGAGTATTCTGTCCCTGCCTTTTGTTTCTCCTTGGTTTAAGTTTTAGCCTTGTCTTCTCCGCTGTTCTTTCCGCAGGTTTTGCACTTATGAAATCCCCGCTCCAATCACATATTTTGATGAACCTCACGACAACGTCACGAAGCATTGAATCCAGCAGGTAAACTGCACTTGCATCTATGTGGATCTGTTAGTCATGTTCAGGTCCTTTTTGGTCCCGGAGAGTCACAGCATTCTAGTACGCATATTGAGGTGGCATGTTCGGATGGGTTCTGACTCGGCAGGAATAGTCGGTGGAATTATGGGTTCTTGTATTTGGTTTTACGGAGGGGCAACCAGCATGGAAAGGTGCATCTTGGGTCGTTGGTTGGCGCTACAGATTGTCAGTTGTTGAGAGTTTGTTGAGTAAAGCAGCATGGTCAGAGCGATCAGTGTCAGAGTATAGCAATGTGAATAACGTCTGGGGTTGATATGGTACGTTAGTCGATCGATTGGACAAGGCCCGTAGCGGACCACATCTTGCCTGGGTTCGTCCTTGTCGAACGGGCCAGAATGTCTGATCGTGTTTCCATCTATGAAAAGGAAGTTCTGTGCAGAGCCATAAATAGATCTAAGCAGAAACTGTCAACCAGTCAATGCCGTCTGGCGCTTCCGATGACACAAACTGAATTTAGCAGATCGCTGCCACCACAGCCGCCCAGTTTGACTTGGATCATGATCTTGCAGCGACAGCCAATAAGACGATGGTCTCAATTCTGTCTAAGCGTCTGAAACGACGGTTCAATGTCGTCTATCGCATTGAATGCTTGAGGTCTGGGGCCAGCTTAGCCGCGCGCGAAGCAAAAACACCAGGCGCTGTCAAGCTACAGAGCAGTCTGTTTCAGGACAGCTCCAGCAAGGTCAATCTGATGGATGAGAAGCGATGATGTGGGAGAAAGGATTGAATCGACAAAGAGCGTATTGTGCCGGCGTTGAAAGAGAGTCTGTATCAGAGCTGTGTTCGATAGATATATAAAGACCAAAGAGTCAGTGTCAGAGCAAGACTAATAACAAGTGGCATTCACACAACACTCTTTCTGCTTTCCTTCTCTATCTAGATTTCATTGATCGTTTCTTTGTCATTTGTTGTTGAAAAAGGTTGAGCGTTGCTAGACTCAGGGTTTCATTCATTGTCTGGTTGTGGCATCACAGTCTTTGATCTACGAGGTCTGCTTTCGGGGCACTCTGAGAGACCTTGAAATACTCTGTCACATCTGCTGGTTGCGCTGGACGCAATATCCCGTCAAGAAGACTTTCACTTGACTCTATCACAATTATAATCTTTCTGCTTCGTTGCGCTACAACTACAATACCACATACAGCCGACACACCCCAAGGTCACCACGAAAACAGCCTCGTTGAACCACCACCACCCAAATCTACAGATCCTAATGTGGTTCCTCGCCCTCAAGCTCCTCCGCGTTGGCGTCAAAGAAGCCAAAAAACACAAGGCCAAGAAGAACGCCTCCAACACCACCACCGACCCGGAAGGCATCAACCTCGACCGCAGCACCGACATGACCACCACCGCCGACTCCACCACCGCCCGGAACCCCCTCAAGACCCTCCTCGAGACCCTCCTCCGCTTCATCCAATTCGTCTTCGGCCTCACGGTCATAGGCCTCTACGGGCGGGATCTCCACGGCACTGATAACGCCCCCGCCCCCGCGAAATGGGTGTATGCCGTCGTCACCGCGTTCCTGGCCACCGTGACCGCGGCCGTCTACCTCCTGTTGCCGTTCGTGATGAAAGGGCGGACGCCGTTGGCGCGGCTGGGGAGACTGCAGCTCCCGCTGTTTATCTGGGAGAGTGTGCTGTGTGTGCTTTGGTTGACGCTGTTTGGGATCTTTGGGAAGATGTATATTGGGGATTATAGTGAGGGGCCCAAGGTGACGCGGATGAGGCATGCGGTCTGGGTAGATCTGGTGAATTTGGGGTTGTGGGCGGTTACGATGGGGTGGGTTGGGTTCAGGTGGTGGAAGGGGGTGAAGGGTGGACAGGAGGGAGGGGAGAGGGAGGTGGAGGATGTTGAGAAGGCTGGTCCTTAGATGGGTTCGAGTAGTCTGGGGATGTTGGAGGGAAGAGAGGCTGTTGGGTGGTGTTGGAGGTGTTAGGGAACTGTTGGTGCATGCATATTACTGGAGAAAGGTGATCGATCTCAAGGTTACGGGTGATGATGAATATGAAGATATACAGGCCATTACTTCATTAGACGGAGACAATCATATCCTGAATACACTGACACAAAACGCCCAACTCTTCGAGTCAACTCCGGTCCTTCAGATGCCCAACCCATGAGTCTCTACAACCCGAGAACAGGAACGCCAGGCTAGTAAGCAATTCGTGGTCATCAATACATAACTCCAGGCCGTTAGTGCAGAGTACAAGGGGTTAGTCGTGATAGTTCCATTCACTGAGCGTGTCATAATAACACCGGGGCAATTTAACCGGTCCCAAGTTCTCCTCCTCCGGATCAATCTTTTCGTATTGGAGCGTGCCGTTCCTGCGCTGCTCTTCAATCATCATACCAAGCAGGCTCACCAGCCGTGGCAGCGGCGAGGGCGTATAATGGAAGAAAGATCTGGGTATTTCTCCCGCGTCGTTGAGAAAGCCGTCGAGCGGCTCTGCCGCGTTGCCACAGTAGTTGCTTGTCATCGAGTCATCGAGAATGGAGGTGGGCGCTGTCGAAGCATTGCCGTCCGAGTTGCCGAAGGTCGACGAATCAACCGTCGTACTAAGACTGGTTCCCTCGCTACCGAAGGATTGCTGCTCCTCTTGCAGGTTCTCTTTATCCAAGAAGGAGGCCAAAAAGACCTGTTCCTCCCACATTCTCTCCAGGAAGAGAGCTCGGAACTCGGCGTGAACGATGGCTCGTGGCGGTGGCCTGTAGTATTCGATATACAGGTAGCGAATGTCGCGGAACTTGTTGGGGATCTGTGACCGGAAGCCCATGGTGAGAGGCGCGGTTTTGTAACTCGCTGTTCGCGGCCTCAGCCTGAGAAGGAGTTTCAGGTTGGTTAGGAAGGTCGGTGGCAGCTCTGGCTGGTCTCCTGGCATGATTTCTTCAATGTGTTGTGGTAGTGGTATGGCTTCTGTGAGCGTCCATTAGAGGTCGACGCGATGGTTCAACGTACGGTGCTCGAGGCATTCCAGATAGACATATGGCCCGAAAAGAGGAGGGCTTACCTTTCAGCTCGGGAGACGGGCTACGAGTCATTTCTCGCCGATCCGGCCAGTGTACCTTCGGGTCGACATATTCCTCTGTGTTCTCTGCTCTCTTTGTGGATAGTCCACGCTGCGGGCTTTGAGTACGAGTAGACTTGGAGCCAGAGGTCGACTGAGAGGACTTGCGACGAAGGATGACAGGTCGCCGCTTCAAACCCTTTGCTGTCTTACTCGCGACAAATTGCGTCTTTTTGTGACTATGGCGACTAGTAGACACGTCTGTTGCAGGAGCAATAGCAGTTGCTGAGCTCACTGGTTCGCAAGTACTATCCTTGTCATCGTTGTCTATTATGAGCCAACGTGTCGTCTTAGGCGTTTCCTTCGGAGCGGCATTGGGTTTCTTCAAAATGGAATGCAGAGGCCCTCTATGAGCTGCCTGGTTGTTGAGACGCTCTGGCAACTTTCCCTCGCTCTTGTTCTTCCTCAGAGATGGATTTGTGTTCGATGAGGTCTATCTTAAAGTCAGCGGGGAGAACAATAACAACACAATGAAATCGAATATGGTCATGCACCTCGCTCACTTTTGAGGCGTTGGACTCAGAGATGCGCATAAACAACTTGGCCACAGTCGCGCCGGGAAGAGAGATGCGTAGACGTTCATTGCTCCAAATCCTCCAAAAGAAGTTCTCCAATCTGTATCCAATGATGCCTTCGAGCGCCGAGGGCTTGACATTGTACGCTGATCATATAGATCAGTCACTTTGGGTCAAAGGCGCGATCTTTAGAAAGCAAGAAAATGTACCTTTCCATAAGAGTGTAATATCCTGAACATCCACTGGCAACGAATCATCAAGCACCGACGGGAGAATCTTTGTAGTCGAAAGCAAGCCTTCAGGTACTTCCTCCATATTGGACATTGTACTCTCTGTCGCACTGGGTAGAAGTAGGACGGTTGAAGACAGAAACTCATCTGAATCTGCCCATGGTCTGAAAAATTGGAAGAAGCATTAAACTAGGTCAAAACAAGTTATGTATGATGATATCAGAGTGTTGTCTCGAAGCCCACAGAACCGAGACAAATAAGAATATTCACGTATGTAAACAAGATAACGCGAGGAGGTTGGGATGTGAGGCCTGACTGTGAAATCTACCATGAACAAAGCAGACAATTCTGAGGGCAAACAAACACAAGAGGTGGCAGGGAGCTGAAGGTCTGAGGTGAGGTTTAGGATCGGTTAATAGTACAGGACTCAGAATCAAAGAGTACAAACAGTAGCCTTCTGCAACTCCCATCTGAGAGTCAAGCAACGAGGACTCAATCAATGATACCTGGGGTAAATTCCTGCAGAGGAACCCCAGGAAGAGGTAGAGACAGGTAGGTTGGATTCTGTCTGTATGTCTGTAAGTTTCCTCATCCCTGGGCCTACAATGCAAGACAGTGTTGCCAGGTTTGGTTTTTTTTTGAACTACATATAGGAACACAACGAGCGGACACGAAGAGACAGATGCACCAGGGAGCAGACGCAGAAAGGACCTGGATGAGAGAGATACTGAGCAGGTGTGGCCGAGATCAAGATTACTGAGAGATATGCTGATGAACGATGCGAGATATATGGCTATGATTGGTATAGACTCATGAGATCTTACAAGAGAGGACGACAAATGAGTAGACACAAAAAGAGAGGAATATGAGCAGACTTAAACACTCTATTCTGTTGTAGAGAGATGCCGAAGTACTTGAGTTTGACTGGAGTGGCAGAAGAGTGATGGTGGTGATCATGATTAACCAGCGATTAACACAAAACAGCGTCAAGAAATGTCATCGGCCGGCCCCATCTCGAAGAAAGTTCCTGATTTTACCTTCCGGGGGATTCGGAGCGACCCGGATAGAAATCCATCCATTGTTGCTCTTTTTTTCAACATGATACCAGGATCCTTGTTTAGAGAGAAAGTAAGGAACAAAAGTTAGAAGTTGATCATGAGACGATGATGATGAGGCGGATGAGGATGAGGAAGAGACGAGGACGGTCCAACGAGAAGAAAACGTCCTACCTTAGAAGGCGGGGCGATGATTCGAGGATGGCGCAGAGCATTAGAATGTGGTAGATACCTCATTATATTAGGTAGACCATCCAATCCTATATAACTGGATATATGAATCAAGATTCAGCCAAGTGCAAGTGCATCAAATCCATTGATGTGATTATCGTGTTGACCGATCTCTTAAAAGACGGGGATGACCGAGAGGTAGTTGAATTCTGCCGAGATGAGTGACTCTATACATATTCGATTAGTTTGATATCACTCTTAGAATCATCTGAATATCTGTCTCATCGATTATTGTTGCAGACCCGGGGAATCATCCCCATTTCTTATGGATATGGACTTACTATCATAGATACCTGAGGCATCAAGGCGCCCAGGCGCCCAGGCATAAGACATGGACGAACCAGTGAGGGTTGATTATTAAGTACCCCGGATGCTGCGTCCGGCATCGGGTGCGATACGGAGAAATTGCGGTTTTCTGGTCTTGACTCAATTTTTTCCTTTTGGGGGTTCTTGGTTCTTTGGGCATTTCTGTGATACCCTTTTTGTTTTTCTTCGTCAATTTGCATTGTGTCCTTACATATAGCCTACAATGTTTGTATGTTCTCCCTCAATTCACCCCCCTTCTTCCATACTATCGTTCAATGACTGACTTCTGCAGAAACGCACCGGATCTTTGCTGCTTCGGTGCAGAGCATCGCGAGCCCCCGTTGTCGGTCGGCCCTTGATCTCATTATCAACCTCCTCCACCTCCCTGTCTCTATCTCGTCCTCGATCCTTTGCCACTACCTCCATCCGCCGTTACGCAGAGGCATCTTCCTCGACGACACAAACCTCTCCCTCGCCGTCGAGTCGGCCCGCCTCCGATGCCGCCCCCCGCGTCCCCCAGACCCTTACCGAGAAGATCGTACAGGCATATTCCCTGGGTCTCGCCGAAGGCCAATACGTCAAGGCTGGAGACTATGTGATGCTGAGCCCCCATCGTTGCATGACCCACGACAACTCATGGCCGACCGCGCTCAAGTTTATGGCAATTGGCGCATCCGAGGTCCACAACCCCAACCAGATTGTCATGACCCTAGACCACGATGTTCAGAACAAGAGCGAGAAGAACCTGAAGAAATATGAATCGATTGAGAAGTTTGCTAAGCAGCATGGTGTCGACTTCTACCCAGCCGGTCACGGTGTCGGCCATCAGATCATGATTGAGGAGGGATATGCCTTCCCCGGCACTGTCACTGTGGCTAGTGACAGTCACTCCAACATGTACGGTGGTGTTGGTTGTCTCGGTACTCCCATGGTTCGTACCGATGCCGCGACCATCTGGGCTACCGGCCGTACCTGGTGGAAGGTCCCCCCTATCGCAAAGGTGCAGTTCACCGGCACCCTCCCCGAGGGTGTTACCGGAAAGGATGTCATTGTCGCTTTGTCAGGTCTCTTCAACAAAGACGAAGTTCTCAACTACGCGATTGAGTTCACTGGATCGGAGGAGACCATGAAGAGTCTCTCTGTCGACACGCGTCTGACTATCGCCAACATGACCACCGAATGGGGCGCGCTGACCGGACTGTTCCCCATCGACTCGACCCTGGAGCAGTGGCTGAGACACAAGGCCGCTACCGCATCACGCACAGAGACGGCGCGCCGATTTGCCGAGGAGCGTATCAACGAGTTGTTCGCCAATCCCACCGTCGCTGACCGTGGCGCCAAGTACGCCAAATACCTGTATCTGGATCTGTCGACCCTCTCGCCCTACGTTTCTGGACCAAACTCCGTCAAGGTTGCCACCCCTATTGACGAACTGGAGAAGCAGAAGTTGAAGATCGACAAAGCCTACTTGGTCTCCTGCACTAATTCGAGAGCGTCGGATATTGCCGCCGCGGCCAAGGTGTTCAAGGACGCCGTTGCCAGGACGGGAGGACCAGTGAAGATCGCGGATGGCGTCGAGTTTTACGTTGCGGCGGCTTCCAAGGCTGAACAGAAGATTGCAGAGGAGGCGGGTGACTGGCAAGCTCTGATGGACGCCGGCGCCATTCCTCTGCCAGCGGGTTGCGCCGTCTGTATTGGTCTGGGTGCCGGTCTCCTTAAGGAGGGCGAAGTTGGTATCTCGGCCAGTAACCGGAACTTCAAGGGCCGCATGGGTTCGCCTGATGCCAAGGCCTATCTTGCCAGCCCTGAAGTTGTCGCGGCCAGCGCACGTATGTCACTCTCTATTGTGTTTATCTTGCCTGCAAAGGGTCGCTAACTCTGGCTAGTGAACGGTGTTATTAGCGGACCCGGCATCTACAAGCGTCCCGAAGACTGGGCCGGCGTTTCCATCGGTGAAGGCGAAGTCGTCGAGTCCGGTACTCGCATCGACACGACTTTGGAAGCAATGGAGAAGTTCATTGGACAGCTGGATAGCATGATCGAGTCGTCGAGCAAGGCCGTGACGCCGGAAGAGTCGACTGGCTCCGAAGCCACCGAGGTCGACATCGTTCCCGGCTTCCCCGAGAAGGTTGAGGGTGAAATCCTCTTCCTTGATGCTGACAACATCAGCACTGATGGCATCTACCCTGGTAAGCCTTTTCAGACCGACAGTTTACGCTGTTTTTCGCTAACCAACGTCATAGGCAAGTACACATACCAGGACGATGTCACCAAGGACAAGATGGCGCAGGTCTGCATGGAGAACTACGATCCTGCCTTCAGCGGCATCGCCCGCGCAGGAGGTTTGTCTCCTTTCCTTCCTTGCCATCCTTTTACTTTCTTAGAGACTAACACAAATGAACAGACATCTTCGTCTCCGGCTTCAACTTCGGCTGCGGCTCCTCCCGCGAGCAAGCCGCCACCTCCATCCTCGCCAAGCAACTCCCCCTCGTCGTCGCCGGCAGCATCGGCAACACCTTCAGCCGCAACGCCGTCAACAACGCCCTTCCTCTCCTCGAGATGCCCCGCCTCGTTGAGCGCCTACGCGAAGCCTTTGGCAGCGAGAAGCAACCGACCCGTCGCACGGGGTGGACCTTCAGCTGGAACGTGCGCACCTCCCAGGTCACCGTCCAGGAAGGTCCGGGCGGCGAAACCTGGAGTCAGAGCGTACCTGCTTTCCCTCCAAACCTGCAAGACATCATTGCCCAGGGTGGATTGGAGAAGTGGGTGAAGAAGGAGATTAGCAAGGCTTGATCGTGTACATGTACTTTTCTGTCACTGTAAAAGCTTCCTTTTTTTTTGTTTTTCCCCTGGGTGCATTGCGTGTCGAGCCTGGACCTGGACCTGGAGATAGTCTGGATGATATATATGATATCCCTTAGATGTTAGAATAGCCGGCGGAGAACTTTTCTGTCCAATTAGATACTTCTTTCTATGCCCTTAGACATTTATGCTAAGTAGTACCGCCAATTAAAGGTATCCTGTCCGATCTGCTGGAACAAACCAATATTCATACCCTTGTGCTGTCCCTTTACCTGGCGATAAGGTAGTTTCAACTACGAGAGTTTCCCTACCTGAGGCATCGCCAGCACAAATTCCCATTGAGTCAACTTGTATGATTCGAACAGTGTGCATGTTTCCTGTACGCAGTTCCCCGCACATGCAGCTGGATCTACTGATATCTGCCATGTAGGTATCATCACGCTTCACTGCTCTGGAGCTGATGTGGGGTGTTGCTCTCAATACAGATACCCCTCTATGCATGTTGCGTATATACACCGATCTTCAAGCCACATGATGTCAACTAACCAAGCTGTAATGCTCATCGACACTCTCGAGTATTCTGGAATCGAACCCAATGGATGATGGCAATGGTAGATAGACACAGTAATGACATTTCCACTGAGATGGAGAACCTTTGAAGTACAGCTCCACAGCTTCCAATTTGCAAATAAGACAATGACAGAACAAAACCCAATTGACAAGTCTATTGTATGCAAAAAAATAACATCAGACAATGATTTTTGTTCTCCGGCAACAACATAACAAATGACCATTTTGCGCTTGAAAAATACTCCCGTCCGAAAAAAAAAAAAAAAATCAAATGGTCTCGTAATACAACCGGATGGCCAGATACCGCATCAAATAAAAAAGAAGTAGGTAGACCAGGTATTAAGTGCTAGCAACAAGCTCACTACCGAGAGCAACAAAACAGATCAAAACGGTCTATAGCGCACGCTGCGCACCCAAAAGTCCCGTACATCGCTTCGTGAAAAACTGCAAGAACTAGACGCATCGACATGAAATGACAAGTCATCTCGCAGTTTAGGTCAAAGTGTAACCACCGTCAACACGGAGATCCGCACCAGTAATGTACTTGGATGCGTCACTCAGGAGGAAGGTCACGGCGCCCATCAGATCTTCGGGAGTGCCCATCTTTCCGACAGGGATGAGGGAGGTCCACTTGTCTCTCAGATCGGGGTTTTCGTCCAAAATCTTGCGGGTCCTATGGAGAGGCTGACGTCAGCCTGTAGCTCAAAATATCGAGTCAAAGATGGTGACTTACAAGGCAGTCAGCATGTATCCAGGGCTGATGCAGTTAACCCGAATGTCGTGAGCGGCCCACTCCACAGCAAGAGAAGCGGCGAGGTGACGCACGGCAGCCTTGGCCGCATTGTAAGGAGCCTGGGGCTGAGGAACGTTGACAATGGCACCGGACATGCTTCCAATCATGACGATGCTGCCCGGAGCCTTGCGTTCCATGAGATGCTTTGCAACACCGGTTGCAAACAAGTATGTACCATCAACGTTGACACCCCAGAGTTTTTGCATGCGGTCGTAGGGATATGAGATGGCATCGAAGTTCTCGGTAAAACCAGCGGAGGTGACCAGGTGATCGATGCGGCTGTGCTTCGAGATGACTTCCGCAATTGCGTTATTTACGGAGTCAGGATTGGCCACGTCGGCGTAGTGAGCTGTAACATTGGGCATTCTAGAGAAAAAGAATGATGTTAGGATCTGCTACTGGCAAAAAATGCCCTAGATCCGCTAATTGACTTACTGTTCCAAGCCAGGATTTTCCTTCCTGAACTGTTCGACGAGCTTCTGAGCCTGCTCTTCAGCTTCCTCTCCTGTGGCATAGTTAGCTATCACCTCTTGAATGCATCTGCTGCAGTTGATCGTCTGAAACTTACGGTTTAGATCAACAATGGCCAAATCAGAGCCGGACGCAACAAGTGCCTGAGACATGACGAGACCAAGACCGCGGGCACCTCCTGTCACCAAGCTGACCTTGTTTTCTAGGGAGAATTGGGCAAGGGTGCGCTTGAAGTGCATCCCTCCGCGCCCCTGGACGATCGGAGTACGAGGCATGTGCGCATCATCGGGGTATTCAATTACAACGCTCTCATCAGTACGAGCAAATCGGCCTTCCACCTCAGCGGATGAATCCTCGGGTTCCTTCTTGTCATCTTTCGCGCGAGGAATTGTGTATGAGAGGGGACGGAAGAAGGTGTTTACGGCGGAAGGTCGGGTAGGAGCAGCGAATGCAGCAGGGCGGGAGCTCTGAGTGAGAGCTTTCGCGGCCTGACGAGCAACCGTGGATTTGAACATTGTACGGAGTATATGTGAGAGGTATGTGAATAGAAGATTGTACTTTTTAGCGGGATGTTGTCTTCAGTAGGAAGGGATGGTGGTAGGGAGAAGAGAGAAGAGGAACACAAAAAGAGTTCCAGAGAAATACGTAGAGGGGAAAGTCCAGATTAGTACCTCTCTACCCTAGGCGAGAAAGAATGTCAATAATGAAAAATCCTAGATGGAGAAGAAAGAATGGAAGAGGAAGTCGTGGATCTCCCTTGGGTCAAGGCACTATTAAAATTGGAGACTCGACAAGCTGGCAAAATAATGCGAGTCCGTGTGTCCACAAGGCGGCAAAGAAGGGTAAAAAGAAAATAGAAAAATAGAAAAATATCAGATGGAGGAGCTGGGAATGTAAGTGTAGCTAGGGAGTGACAATAGGTAGGTAGTTACTGCTGCTAGCAGCTGGTGTGTATACAAAGCTAGAGCAATTGCGGTGAATGGTAAGGTACTAGGTACATTGAATGGACCGCCGTAAAGGGAAACCCGATGGAACAGACAAGTCAGACAGAACCAAAGAATTGTGGGTGTGACCCAGATGACTGGCGTATGAACAATCAGGATAAATTTTCCCATTCGCAGACTCCAAGGAATACATAAAGGATGTCCAATTTCTTTTTGGGTGATGTCAGGCGGTGATGGGAGATGGGAGAACCCTGGGCCAGGCCCCAACCGCCATGCAGCGATCCGACCTGGATCTGCCCTCTTCCTTAAGCCACTGGCCCATAGGCTTCCCGGCTTCATCGCCGCGCCGCCCTTTTTCCCTGCCGCGTGACTCCAACACGGCCCCCTCGATCCTCGCGGAGTTTCACCGGCTCGTTGAAGATCCTTTCCATCATCCATCTTCCCGTACGTATTTTTTTTCTATTCCCCTTCTTATCAAGAAAAAGTGAAAACATACTTCAATCTCGAATATCCTGCATGCGTGCCAAATCCAATACCGAAACCCAATTCATAGCAAGCGAGCCGCTGCAGCCTGCATGTACTTGGTTACCGACATATCAGATTTCATACTTACCTCCTCTGAATTATTATGCAAATGGACATCAAAGGCGTGGAGATCAACCCTCACTATCCTAGATTATTTGCCACATCTTCGCTGATATTCCGTCGCGTCCAAGTCACTGTAAGCACTGCAGGGCAAGAGGAGATAGATTGTGGCATCGTTCGCCTTCCGGACTTTGGGGGAAGCGGAGAAGTACCTAGTGCCCAGTGGATCTGGCACTCCGTAAAAAAAGCCACTACAAAGCCATGATCCATCCATCAGGAAGGTTCTTCGTCTCCAGATGGAAGTCCCCGAAGTGCAAACCATAGTTGGAAGTTGGAACTACTTAGTGCACGTCGGAGTACCAGACACTACGTACTTAGTACCTTACTGTACTCCGTATTATGACCACATCCCAAACTTCCCCGCACGTCCCATTTTCAATGGAGCCTCTCAATCTTCTTTTATGTCTGCCTCTTGCTTCCACGTCCTTCGCTCCGCCAGATGACCAGACTCCTCTCAAGACTTTCCTAAATTGTACATATTTTTGGTTCGCTGTGTTCATTCGCTACCTCATTATTGACAGTCCTCAAGCGGACTATCAACAACAACAGTGAAGAATGTTTACTAATCTATTTTAATGCAGACATGCCGGCTCATGACAAAGGACACAGCATATACATCTCCTGTATTCGAAATCTAATGCAGACGTCTACGCGGAAAAACAAATCTGTCAAAATCATATCGACGTACACAGTACAATTCCTGTCCCAGATCGGACGCATCCGAATTCCAATGGAAAGTTGGGGCATCAACTTGAAGTCTCCTCACCTTCCTCTGCGAATTCGACCAGAGGAGTACCGCTCTTGCATTGATCCTAAAAAAACACGTTAGTCCTCCACCACTCCTAAAAAAAGAAAGATCAAAAACGCCGGAAGTTCTGGAAGCACAAAGGAAGGCCTCCTTGAAGCTTGACGAGACGGTCCGTGCTTCGCTCACAGCCTGGCTTTCCCGGGAGTCTCCAATTCCAAGACTCCAAAACTCCAGCCATCCTGGTCCGACTTGGCGCCAAACCAACGGGCCGAGATCCAGGCCATTTTTATTAATTAACGAGTGGTATCCCATCGGTCAAGTGACCGATCAATAAACGAGAAGGATGCGCAGGGGGCAACAACAGTAGAGAAACCAAAAAGCAAAAAAGAGACGCGTGACCTACCCCTTTTTGATGTACCACTTTGGCGATGGTTCCCTTCTGGGGGCTGCGGATTACAGTTTCCATCTTCATACTCTCAATCACCACCAGTGGCTGGTCTTTTTCCACCACATCGCCTGCCTTGACCTCCACGCGCAGCACCTTGCACGGCATTGGGGCCAAGACACTGTTGGTGACATCCTTCATACCCAATGCTTTTTCCATCCATTTGGCCCGGGGGATCGTTAGGCAGTATTGAGTGCCTCGCTGGAACACAACGACGGAGTCCCCATCTTGTATTACAGTCGTGTCAAGTCGAGTGTGGGGAAAGAAGGATGTCACGAGTTTAGATGTCGGATCGCTGTGGCTGGTTACTTGCTCGAAAACACGACTGCCAACCTCGATATCAAACACATTGTTGCCTGTCTGCTTGACACGAACATTGAATTTCGTGCCATCTTTCCGGCCCGGAGTCAGTTCTGCTAATGTCATCTCTCGTACTTGATAGCTCGGACTGAATCCGACAGCGGACCCTTCAAAGTTGGCCTGCTTATCGGTCGCTGATTTGGAGTTGTGGTGCAGACAAGCCAGCGCCACTTGTGCAAGAACCTCATCCTCAATCGGGTCCTTGGTAAACAACTCTTCGCGGTGCTTTTCAATGTAACCCGTCTCCACCTCGCCCTTGATGAAATCTGGGCTTCTGCAGATGGATTTGATGAACTCGATGTTGGTGATGGGTCCTGCGACCTCATATTCCTCCAAGGCGGCTGCTAGTTTGCGGATTGCCTCTTGCCGGTTGGCGCCGCGAACGATCAGTTTCGCAATCATTGGGTCGTAGTGAGCAGAGACTTCATCTCCCGCAACGAAACCTGCATCTATTCTGATGTCGTCTGACGTCGCCGGAGTGCGAACGTGCAGCAGAGTGCCAGAGTCAGGGATGAAGCCCTGGTCCGGATTTTCTGCGTATATTCTAGCCTCGATGGCGTGTCCGCGGTGAGCCATTTCAGCTTCGACTTGATCCTGAGTCAATGGCAGAGGGGCGCCCTCCGCGATCTTGATCTGCCAGTGAACGAGGTCCTGACCGGTGACCATCTCTGTAACGGGATGCTCAACTTGCAGCCGAGTATTCATCTCCATAAAGAAGAATTCGCCGGTGTCGTTGTCGAAAATGAACTCGACGGTACCGGCGCCCTCGTAGCCTACGGCCAGCGCCGCAGCTCTCGCCTTCGCCCAGATATCTTTTCTGGTTGCGTCGGGGAGATGGGGTGCTGGAGACTCCTCAAGGATCTTCTGATGCCGTCTTTGTATGCTGCAGTCTCGCTCTCCCAGAGCGACACAATTCCCATGTTTATCTGCAAAGACCTGAACTTCGATGTGACGTGGTGTTGTAATGTACTTCTCGACCAAGACCTGGTCGTCTCCGAACGAGTTCATGGCTTCTGATTTCGCAGATTGCAATTGAGCCTGAAATTCAGCTTTAGAACTGGCGATACGCATTCCTTTTCCGCCGCCACCTTTGACTGCTTTGATAAGCACGGGGTATTTGATCTTATCGGCTTCGGCTTCGAGGAAGTTCACATCTTGATTTGAGCCGTGATAGCCAGGAACGCAAGGCACACCTGCAGCTGTCATGATCTTCTTTGACTGGCTTCGAGGTCATTAGCGAGGGGCGAAAGATGGACCTTTCGTGATCAGCATACCTCTTGTCTCCCATATCCTCGATTGCTTTCCATGGTGGACCGATGAATACTAGACCAGCTTCTGTGCATTTCCGCGCAAACTCTGAGTTTTCACTCAACTATAGACAGCCCTGATAAGTATACAGCGATCGCTTATTCGTTGGCAGACACTTACAAAACCGTAACCGGGATGTATCGCTTGGCAGCCTTCTCTCTTCGCGATCTCGATGATGCGGTCACCATCGAGGTATGCAGAGACTGAGCCGAGATTAAATGCAAATGGTGAACTTAACGCATGCTGAGCATGACTGTCGGGATCCGTGTATAGCGTTGTCACTTTGATGCCGTGTTGAGAAGCCGTCCGACCTACTCGTCTATCAATTTGGTCAGTAGAGGTGAATAAAACGTCAAACTTATCATGATCATACAATGCTATCTCTCCCCTGTTGGCAATAAGCACCGAGTCCAACTTTCTCTGTGGCACATGAGTACTGGCGACTGTGGATGCTGCTCTTCGTGACCGTCGAGCTGCTGTCGGGCCCATGCGGGAAGAAATGCGGAGAAGTGATGAGAGAGCCATTGCGACAGATTGCTGCTGCTGAACAGCCTATGTTGATTTTTTGTGCAGATTCTTCAGAACTCTCAGCATATTTTAGCTAAGAGCGAAAGTAGCTTTGAGGAGCTCTTAAGAAACTTAAGGCCCTGCTTAGGGTCCTACCGAAGCATGACAATACCATCACCCCCTTGAGCCGACGCAAAGCGAAACTGCGGGGAAACACATGCACGTGATCCATACTCCACTGCAACCCTTCTCGGCAAAGTTCTGCTCGGCGGAAGTCGAAAGAGACCGCAATCAGGCCCCTAGGCACAACGTCACCATTAAATTTTCTTTCAATCATTCGCGGTCGTTTCTGTTTATACTTGAGATCAATTGAGATATACAGCTCCTTTGCTTGCTTATTGCAAAGCCACTCTTTTTTCCCTCTCTTACGAGGTCTGTTTGTCGTCACGGAAAATTTCTGCGCTCCTTGGGTCGTTTTACTCCGTAGTTCCAGGCGATCTTTCCAGTTACGCTTTCTCGACAACGAAGCGATTAACGACACAGTGCAACTGTATCGCGTTTGTGGACTGACTTCGCCAACGCGGGTCGCCTCTCGAGATGTCAGATGACGAATGGCTCGACGAATACGACGATGAAGATGTTCTTTGGATTGAGGAACCCGATCCAACCATAGCTGTTAGTCTTTGCGCTCGCTGCAACTTTTGGTTGATTAGCGGACCTGGTCCTCGATTATGCTGACGAGTTGATTAATGATATAGGATGATTTGGCTGAAGCCGCTACATACGACGTGTTGTACTTTGACGATCCCTCCCTCGACGTAGAGGACGTTTACAGTGATTGGGACGAATTGTCTGATGATTATTACGATGACGACTCAACTGTTGAAAAGAGACGACGGCTGTTGAATTTAGTGAAGAACACCGGATATGCTGGAGAAATCCCCGAGGATATTCAACGACAAGGATTGCAGCAACAGAAGACATTGGTGCATCGGCTACATCGCGGTGGAGCTGTGGCAGAATCACCAGCATCCAAAACAGACCATGCGTCTTTTCAAGCAGTGGTGTGGAAGAGCTCAGACGACGAAAAAGACACGGTCACCTTGTATGAGCCGGGTGATGGGGAGAAGGTTGCACTGCTGAAGAACTGGCGGGAGGTCTTTCGAAATTCTCATCCTGCCAACGATCGACTACGTCTGCGCAAGCTGGGTCATCTCAAGGTGGACAAGGAACATAGCCGCTCACGATTGATCGGCGCCTTATTGCAAAGAGAAAGCCAAAAGGAAGACAGCTCAGACTGCACGTCTGGCGTCTCCTCGCTGGAGAATCTTCGCGAGACCGACGCTGCCTCCGAAAATAGCCTGACGTCGACCCCTCCGGAGTCCGTGTCATCGACCCCCCTACACAGGATCAACGCGATGGAAGCGATCACCGGTGTGCCCGTGGTTCCCGAATTTAACGACTTGAAGTGCCCTCCCGAAGACTCGGAAATGGACGATATCACCACGAAACGAGTTGAAGCCGAACCGACCGATTCTGCGGGCAACGGTTCATCGCTTTCTTCCGGGAAGCATCGGAAACGCAAGGCATCTGACCTGGCCGAGGACCATCCGGATACCAGCATGGATGCTTCCAAGAGATCAAAATCAGAAAGTAAGGTATTGAACACAGCCGGCAAAAAGGGAATCGCCGCGACTGCATCATCGGGCCCAGTCAGAAGGTCAACCAGGCAAAAGACGAATCAGAAATAAGCAGAGATTCGTTACACAAACCGACAAGGCCCAAATTGGGCTACACGTCTATTTTAGATAATGCAAGGATAGGTGCCCAATGAAATTGAAGTTCGTCAAGTCTAATATATTCAATCTTTCATACAGTCCTTCCTCTATGCATATTCCTTGTTAAAGGCGCGCCCGATCACCATCCGTCTGATCTCACTAGTACCGGCCCCAATCTCATAGAGCTTCGCATCCCGGAGCAGCCGCCCAGCAGGGATCTCGTTGATGTATCCATTACCGCCCATAAGTTGAATAGCATCCAGGGCGCACTCGGTGGCTCTCTCGGCAGCGTACAAGATGGCACCCGCGCAGTCCTGCGTGCGGATCGAAACCTCGCCAGTAGATGCGGAGTTATCGACGTGTCGTGCCGTAGCATAGGTGTAAGAGCGCGATGCTGCAAGCTTGGTATACATGTCTGCCAGCTTTCCTTGAATAAGTTGGTTGTGGGCAATGGGGATTCCGAATTGCTTGCGGGTATGGGTATATGGGAGCACGAGGTCGAGGGCTGCTTGCATGATTCTATTGGATTCTAATTAGCGTCATCCATCTTCAGAACGCAAAATGTTTTACTGGAAGAAAAGCCTACCCCAGTGGACCAGCGCTGAGGACAAGCCGTTCGAGGTCAAGTCCTTCCATGAGAACCCTGACGCCCTTGTTCAACTCCCCGAGGAGATTCTCCTTGGGGACGAAGACATCTTCGAAAACGAGTTCTCCAGTGTTTGATCCACGCATGCCAAGCTTGTCAAGCTTGCGCGCACAGGAGAAGCCTTTGAATGTCTTTTCCACGACGAATGCGGAGATGCCCTTGGAGCCCTTTTCCGGCTCTGTTTTGGCATAGACGACAATGAAGTCTGCGTCGGGGCCCTAGATCATAGTCAGGGTCAGTGTCAGCGAGCTGTTGTAGCATTGATTACTACTCACGTTCGTGATCCACATCTTGGTCCCGTTCAGCACCCAACCACCGTCGACAGCTTTAGCAGTTGTCTTCATACTGACAACATCAGAGCCTGCGGAGTGCTCTGACATGGCCAATGCTCCGATTTTCTCACCGGACAAAAGGCCAGGGAGGAACCGAGCCTTCTGGTCTTCAGTACCGTTCAAGGACAGTTGGTTTACGCAGAGCTGCGAATGTGCTGCGTAGGACAAAGCGATACTCCCTGCAGATCAAACGAGTCAACCTCAAGTCCGAAAGCAAGCCCTGAAGAGCCGCAAATAGGAGCAAATACCCGAGGCTCTGCTGAGTTCTTCCATCACTATACAGTGCGCTTGATAACCCATTCCAAGTCCACCATACTCCTCGTTGGCAGTGACACCAAGAAACCTAGTAAAACACAATCAGCTACTCAATGTTACGAAGATGCCTTGGAGTACTAACCCGGCTTCTCCAAGTTTCTTCCACATCTCTGTCGGGAACTCATTCTGTGCATCTGTCCGAGCGGCGACCTCCTCGGGTATTTCGCGCCCTTGAATACGCATAAGTATCGGAGAAGGGCAGATACAACGTGATACGAAGGCTCATCACATACTTGTGAACTCTTGTACTCGCTCTCTCAGCTCCAGGAGCTCATCCTCGGTGGGCGGTACAAATCCCTTGGGATGTTTGGTTGCCAACGACCTAGACGCGGGGGTGTAGATGAGCGGTCTCCTCAATCTGCAAAGAGTCCTGGACGATGTCCGAAATAGAGACGCTACGGAAGCCATTGTGAATAAGAACAAATACCCTTCTCAGGTAACGAGGAAGAATGATGAATGTCAGCAAAAATCAAAGCCGAGGATGGTTGTATTTACATAGGTAGCGATGCGAGGCGGAGAGGAGAGCAGGCTTGAGGCCAGCGGCGGGTAAACGCGGCAATCGTCGCTGTTCATCTCCGCAGCTGCTAAGATGGAGTCTGGGGACTGATCGTCATGCCCTTCTTTTTCCTCCCCATTATCAACCCCCGACCCTTTTTTCTCAAAGACTTTTCGCACTTTCTTGAGGACACTGTCCTGTACTTCTGAGACCTTTCTTGGAACTCCAGTCAAGGCCATGCCATAAATACCCCAGATCATCGGCTGAACATCAACGTTTTCTTGCTCCACAGTCATCCCCGCAATGCATGCCCCATCTCCGCTCCTTCGGGGCTTGTGCTCCAGAGCAACCGGCCTTCCATACTCTCGACGACTCCCAGCACAAAGGCACCTGGTTTTAACATACACTCGCATCTCGTCACGATCTGTGGCCAGCTATACGCATCCGCATCATGCTTCCGCCATCTCCGTGCTCCCCACTGCGGTGGACACCAGCTCAGCTGAATTCAAGGAGAACGCTCAACAGGTGAGAGAGTTGGTGGACCGAATGGCCAGTCTACACAAGACAATTGCACAGGGAGGACCGCAAAAAGCTAAGGAGAAGCATATAGCTCGAGGAAAGATGCTCCCGCGCGATCGTGTCACTGCGCTCATTGATCCGGGGACGTCCTTCCTGGAGCTTTCACCCCTGGCTGGCCATGAGGTCTACCCCGGGGAGGACGTACCCGCTGGAGGCATAATTACAGGCATTGGCACAGTGGAGGGCGTCACCTGTATGATCGTGGCTAATGACAGCACTGTCAAGGGAGGAACATACTACCCCATTACCGTGAAGAAACACCTTCGCGCGCAAGCAATTGCCCAGGAGAACAAGCTGCCATGCCTCTACCTTGTCGATTCGGGCGGTGCCAATCTTCCCCACCAGGCAGATGTCTTCCCCGACAAGGAGCATTTCGGACGGATCTTCTTCAACCAGGCCAGAATGAGTTCTCTCGGGATCCCTCAGATCTCTGTGGTCATGGGACCCTGCACAGCGGGAGGTGCCTATGTCCCAGCCATGAGCGATGAGACTATCATAGTCGAGAACCAGGGAACAATTTTCCTGGCTGGTCCTCCTCTAGTCAAGGCAGCGACGGGTGAAATCGTCTCTGCGGAAGATCTGGGGGGTGGCCAGCTACACAGCACCATCTCCGGCGTCACGGATTACCTGGCCGTGGACGATGCCCATGCCATTGTCCTCGCCCGGAGATCCGTCGCCAATCTCAATTACCCTAAAACAAGCGTACCTCAGGTCTCCGCAGATACCATCAAGGAGCCGCTGTATGACCCGGCCGAGCTCGACGGCATAGTCGGAACCAACCTCCGCCGGCAGATACCAGTCCACGAAGTCATTGCCCGTATCGTCGATGGCAGCGAGTTTGCAGAGTTCAAGCGTGACTACGGAACGACCCTTGTGACTGGATTTGCTCGTATCTACGGTCACCAGGTCGGTATCGTCGCGAACAACGGCATTCTATTTTCCGAGTCTTCCTTGAAAGGAGCGCACTTCATTGAACTTTGCGCTCAACGCAAGATCCCCTTGCTATTCCTTCAGAACATCTCCGGCTTCATGGTCGGAGCAGATGCAGAGAAGGGCGGGATCGCTAAGAATGGTGCCAAACTGGTGACTGCAGTGGCTTGCGCGGACGTCCCCAAATTTACAGTTGTGTTTGGCTCCAGCGCCGGAGCAGGGAATTACGGGATGTGGTAAGTGCCCTCATTATGCTGTATTGACCTCGAAAAGACACAGTGCAATAGGCGGCTAACTTTGCTGCGTCTCTTATAGCGGCCGCGCCTACTCTCCACGACTAATGTTCATGTGGCCCAACGCGAAGATAGGTGTTATGGGTTCCGAACAATTATCTGCTGTCATGGAGGCAGTCGGTAGAACGGCCGATCCGGAACTAAAAGCACGGATCGACCATGAGTCACAAGCGATCTTTTCTTCCGCTCGTCTCTGGGACGATGGTGTCATTCCGCCAGCACAGACGAGACATGTTTTGGGCCTGAGTCTTGCGGCTGCTCTTGGTGGCAGAGTAGACAAGGATGTGCAGACACGTTTTGGTGTTTTCAGGATGTAAACATATAGCGTAATTCAGCAGAGTCATTACTCACAAAATTCGTCCTTGCATACTTTCACTTAGGTCGAACTCGTAGGAGCCCCTTTGACACACAGGCTGCCAGTTTTCCCTGAACTAGCATGACAACAGTATAGACCCGTACGCCGGTCAGTACAGACAGGAAGTGGACTGTGACGGACCTGTCGCGACGGCAAATTTCTCAATTCCTCTAAGAGATACGTGGTATACAAGAATAGTAAGAACATGATACCAAGCACATACAATGAAGTCAACCCGATTCTCCTGGAATCGGTCCAGACTGAGCCTCTCAGGAGTTCAGGGTAGACAAGAACATGAGGAACGTTAATATCGAATGCAAGAATAGCACGGAAGGGAGAAAGTCGAATAAGTGGGAAAAGAAAATAATCAGGAAATCACTCGGACAACTTTTCCAGCCTTGAAGTCAGGTGACAGCTTGTAAGATTGCAAATAACACGTTATAATTGAACATCGTTCTATCGTTGGGAAGAGCATGTAAATGGCGTATAGTGTAGCATGATATGGGGGCACCTTGTGAGGAAAAGGTAAGCAATTGATGGGTATGTGTGAGTGAGGGATGTCGCTCAGAGCTCAAGATGCATGAGCAGCAATACATAATTGACGGACAGGAACGAACAGGAAATCGGACGTTTCGGGTGTTCTTGCTGCAGTCGTAGAGCTGGTGTCGCCGTAAATTTGGGATTTATAAGATTACACAGGGGCCCTTTCGTCGTTTCTTTTCTTTCTTCTTATCGTGACGACCGGCGCCTTCACGCTTTCTCGCTGAATTGTCGGAGCCACTGGACGAGCTTCCTTGCATGTCTTTTCTGATTATTTGCCGGCAAAGATCAATGAAGACCTCGTTGACGTTCGCTCTCCTACGCGCTGAAGTTTCATAGTAGGGAGCATTACCCCAGCTCTGGGAAAGTGCGAATGCGCGAGCTCGGGGAACAGCGCGGTCTTCCTCCAGATCGGATTTGTTTCCCACAATGACAATGGGGACTTTTTCATCGTCCTTTATCCGGATAATCTGCTCTCTCAGTTCGGACAACTCGTTCAAGGAGGACATGCTGGTGATGGAGAATACGAGCAGAAAGCCTTGGCCCTGCTTCATATAAAGCTCCCTGGAGAGAGAGAGAAATAGGGTTAGCACTATGTGGCGAGCTGAATCTGGCGTTATACGATGATCATGTTGGGCTGAAAAAGCACAGGAACCATCGGCAAGGAAGGAGAGGACAAGATGAAATACCTCATAGCGGCTGCAGAATCACGTTAGCCAACAGGTCATAATCTTAAAGAGCGGGTGGACTTACTGAACTGCTCGGTCCCTGCCGTATCGAGTCTTTTGAACGATTCAAGCGTCAGTACTCTCAAGCTAACATCGGTGGTAATTCTCCCGGACAACAAGAGTCTGCGAAAACATACATTTCCAGAATACATTGCCGGCCCTGGAAGAGTCAGCGTTGAAAGTCTAGCGCAAACATCGGAAGCGACTTACATCAACCTCAATTTGTTTCCGATAGGAATCTTCAATGGTAGGGTCGTAGCTTTCGATCCACACATTCTGAACGAATTGAGCTGTGAAAATCAGATCGTGTACCTCATTGATGGAGAACCTTAAGTCGACGACACAGTTCTCACAGCGAGCAAGAAAGGGGAACAAGGGTGGGACGAGCAAGAGAAGAGTATGTACCAGTAAGACAGCTTTTCCCCACACCTCCTACAGCGCAGACAACGGACAATCAATTAGCCTCAGAAGTCTTTTGGGCGTCTTCCAATAGAATGTATATGCCTACCTGCGCCTAGAACCACAATGTGATATTCCCGTCTGGCAATTGACACATGGTAATATCAGCAACCCGTTGCGCAGTCTCCCTCAACGAGGGCATCTCTGACACGAGGACTCACTGGGGCCGCATCGAGACTGTAGAGACTGTAAAGACTCTTTTGATAGACAGTCACCCTTATAGACTTCGCGCAGGGAATCGTCAGTGCGTAGTTCTAACGTCAAAGGAGCGCAATTGGAGGTGTGCATTATCTACCTGTCAACACTATCGCCGATGTGCTTCGCAGTGTAGTGTCACCAAGTTCAATCAAATTCGGGGAGCGTTCCGGTAGGGTATGTCAAAGGCCCGCTGCTGGTATCCTCCTTCAAATCGTAGCCGGTCGGGTAATGATCTGATTTCCTGGCTCCCAGTGGAAGAGCAAGGGCGAAGAGACGCGATCCGTTACATCAGTTTCCGATGCCAATTGCCAACCGATTCCTCAGACTCAAGGTTATATCGAGCCCTTTAATCAAATCACACCTAGAGGTTCGCCGTTGAATAGCCAGAGATGGTGGTGATTAGGGAACGATGCGCTCGAAAAAGAAAAAAAAAGAGTAAGGGAAAAAAAAAAAAAAAGGCTGATGTCAACAGATTGGGTCCAACGTCCGGAGGCTAGGCCGGGCTAGTCTGGTCACTCCTGGAGTCCTGGTACAACCAAAGGACGGGTGTGGGGAGAGGGGAGGAGCGATAAGAAGCGGTTCGTTTCCGAGGGAGGCTTGAGATCAGGCTGGTTACTGGACACACTGCAGAATGGTCAACATGGTACACAATGCAATTGCACGTAAGGGAGGTCACTGACCCTTTCTCAGTTTTCTGGTTTGAACTCAGAATCCGAACGTGACGACTAGGCGGCGGTGAGAATCTGCGATGGTTGTGCGGACACGACGGGCGATCCAACATCCGCACTTAAACTCTAAAGCTCAGGAAGGAAAGCGAATAGCCGGTGGGATTCTCTTGGAATTCCGCGAGCAACTCGATGGGCACCCCCTGTCTTAATGGCATTATTTGAGTCAGCGTTGCAATGAAAGGTCAACAGATGATAGAGTTGTGGTTACTGAAGTCTCCAAAGGACCTATCAAACAGGCTATGGCGGTGTTGGCGTATGTAATGATGTATTGCTGAAACCACCAGTGCGGCTTTTTTCCCCCATGTTCCCTTGGATCTGGGGAATTCTAAGAGTAAGTGCAAGCGCAGGAGGAGAGGAATAACCGGAGTGTCGGTCCTGAGTCCCAGTCATCGACGCTCAGGATACATTTTCACAATCCGATCCAAAGACGGCGGTATTGCACGCTTGGCTTGAACGCTGCCCCAAACGTCTCAAGCAACAGGACAGGGAAAGAGATGGCGGCAAGTAAAACATGAGAATGCCATGCTGATCATTAGGGGAACTCCTCCATCATGCTCAATGCTGACAGAAAACCCCTCTGATGCACCGGATGGAGGGAAGGTGAGGGAAATGACGGGAGTGTAGAGGTGAAGGCCTAAGGTGGCTACTTACAGTCGAAGAGAAGTCCAATATTCGGCTGAAATAGGAAAGAAGTCACTCAATGAGATAATCGATAGAGATTAGTAGGACTATTTGTGGCGTCCAGTATGACAGAAGTCTCTGATCGGGCACCAAAAGCAGGTTTTGCGGGAACGAGAGATTCAGTACATCCTCTCCAAGTATTATCCCCAGGTGTCGTCAAGGGGAAACCATTGAGTTATAACACCGGCATCATTACCTCTGGATTGAAAGTCACACAATGAGGATTCCTACTTGGCGCTTCGAAGTTGAAAATATACATAATGGTACCAGGGTTGCAGACATCCTCCCACCATTCAATGGAGATAGCTGGAAAGTCCTGAAACATACACCAATCTTCGCCAGAACTTACCTGTCAACTCTTTTTCCGAGATCGGCTCAGTAGTTTATCTCTCATCGCGATTGTGGGAATCTGTCTGCTGGGTCTAGAGCTGCAGATGATTGACGTAGATGATGTTGACAAACATGACAACTCAGTCTGCTAGGAACACAAACCTATCTTTAGGCTAGATGTCATTACGTGGTGAAGTGTTACTGTAGATTGGAAAGCCATACCAACATTTGAGCACTGGCATTCATGGAAGAATCGTCAGGAAAGAGGGGCATGGTAAGGGAGCGCAAGACTGTCCCTCTATCATATGACTGACACTTGACAGGTCGAATCATGCCTGGGACAGATCTCGATGATCACAGTGCATGTGGATAGGTCGTAGATATTTTCATTCCCCGTGGAGATGCAAGGTAGGTAGTATACAGGTATCTGGCCTTCACTCTGTGTCTGTCCATCCCACACAGACAGGACGCTCTGCCAATCATGGTGTCACACATAGGGCAGTCCGCACACATCATCAGACATTCCATCGACTTTCCTGGGGGATACGTCTGCACTATGTGGTATGCTAGGCGCTGTAGCCTCGAGACCATGATACATGCCCTATCTTATGGGGTCGCCTGAGTCGGATTTCATGGTACCCTTGATGAGGAACCACCGAGTCAAGGCAACAGCATCCATTCTGAAAATGAGACATCGCAACATACTCCGTAAGCGCCATTGGAGAGGTGAGTCTAGCCGTGGATAGATCTACGGTCTATTGAAGGGAAAGTATATCACGGAAGATGGGAGCGAGCTCTGACGTTGCAATTGTTCAACGGAGATCAAGCAACCAGAAATCCCTTAATTCCTAGTATCCACTTACACCGACAGCAACTAAGGAATGAAAAGCCATGGCAGCAACAGTTTCCGTTAAAGCTGTAGGTTATATCAAACCGTTGGGTCCGTTTGGCTGCCTTGTCCCCTTACGTTCCGCTATATTTCTGGAGCGGTACCGCTCAAGTGCCTCAAAAACGTGCCCAAACACCTGTTGGTCCACGTCTCTGGCCCAGAGGAAATCCAAATGCTCATAACTTGGAATTGACTTGGCCACCGTCCCCCGTGGGAGCTCCCGCAACATCGCCCCGATATCAACCAGACTGTCACTTCCACCGTAGAGCAGAACTACCGGGGTCTTGATGTTCCGGGTGGGGTACTTGACCGGCTTGTAAAACCGTTGACTTGCCACAACGCTGAATGGAGGATGAATCTCGTCATCGTAAAATTGAAAGTTCTTATGCCGTATGATTTGAAACCAATGCACCACCGACTTCGTGCTAGTGAACGAATAGAGATGCAGATAGCTTGCCAGTTTCTGATAGCGGCTGATGTTCTTGCACTCCCATCCGAAAAGAATTTTAAGAGATGCGTCGATTATGCGAACGAAGATTGGAGGGTAGAGGATTGTCTGCCACATCGGGGTGGAACTGAGGATGCTGCGTCTACCAAAGAGGAGAAACAAAAAGTCGGGTGAAGCCTTCATCAAGGAGTCCACAATACGATTCCGCAGTCCCGAGGGCGCCATTGCAGGTGCAAGGGCCACAAAGACGTCTACCTGTTGGTTGAGCAACGGATGAATCGATAGAGTCGCAAAGGCCTGTGCCGTTCCTTGCGAGAACCCGACATACGACAAGGAGGCCTGTCCCGTCACATCCAGAATGTAGCTAATGCTGTCTGGGATATCGTACAACGCAAACTCGTCCATCGAAAAGCCCCAGAACTTAGTGGACAGGGGAGAATAATGGACAGACTTCTTGGAATATTTGTTACCGCGATTGTTCCCAAGCCAGACATCGTATCCTCTCTCCACAAGCTGAAAAGGAAGACATCGTTCTTCTTCCGTTAAACACACCCAGATTTCGCTGCACATCATAAGACCGTGATGGAGGTAGACGACCTTTTTCTCGAGGCTACCCTCTCCCCGGTTGACGAGGAGACCTTCCTCGCCTCTGCGATAGGCCAGGCGGTGTAGTCCTATCAAAAAGCCATCTTTCGTCTGCACGATGTGCTCCTCGGCCTCATATCCGAAAATGGCACAAATGTCTTCAAAGTTGGAGGCCTGCGCAACCTGTGCAGCGGTCTGCTCCTCCTTACCACGCTTGTATAGTTTCTCGCCCGGCATCAGAGAATTGAATATGGCCTTGGAACGATCGTAACAGAACCTGATCACAGGTTCCGCTGCTCTAGATTAGCCCCTTATCCTCAACGTGCCTTGGATTGCAATTGAAGGCTGTGAATACTGAGACCCGAGGCCCCTCCTTGGTATACTTACGCAGCCAGAACGTGATTATATGTATGACCCATTCCAGCAACACTAGAATCAAAGACGCAAAAAGCGCAAGGTATTCGAACCAAACCAGTCTTCCGATCACTGGCACGGCCATGGTTATGTTATGTTGACCACTTGCTCCGACGGATGTGGTTCAATGAAGGGTATTGAAGATAACACTCGCGGTCACCGTGCGCCGACTAACATGATGCACTGGATCAAGGATCAAAAAAATGCTTCATGGTCAACGGCGGATCGTCTTTTCGAGATCGACCAAGTTGCACCTCGACGTCATGCGGTCATTGCGCCCGTTCATTTTCATGTGATGCTTACTTAATCTGGGGGAAACCAGAAGCCAAAGAGGGCTAGCCTGGATTTTCGCCGCCGAGGAGATTCCGACGATCTGATACCTGACAGTTTGATTGTGGTTCCTCAGGACAGTTCATCAACGCGCTGGCGGCACAACTTCGCGATGCCGAGCTCCTGCAGAGAACTAAGTGAGTAATTCACAATTTATTTCTACCCATTGGGCCGAATCTACTACCAGTTTCCAAGGACTATTGCCCGCCGACCGCGTTCCACTTCCCTTCCGCGACCCTCGCTTACAATGTATCATATCTGGATGCTAATGAGTTTGGCGACTTTTCTCAGGAGACGCACTGGCGCAATGCCTGCAAGAATCAGATTGCATCATGGTCCAGCGCCACACCCCGCGTGAATGCTTGAGCACCCCCCACGTCGATGAACTGCCAATGAAATGCCAACAGTTGCGGAAAGGTTTCAGCGAGTGCAAGTGAGTGGAACAGACATGCATGCTTCATTGCAGTGGATTGCGCTGACAGTGGGCTCAATCTAGACGTGGGTTGATCGACATGCGAAAGCGCTTCCGTGGAAATCAGCCCATTTCAGTTTCCAGGGAGCTCGAAGGCGGCAAATCCCAGTCTCACCAGCAACTATACGCCGGCAAGCCCGCCTTCGAGACTGTTAAGGAGATTAGTGGGAATGAAGTTCAGATGGACCCTGAGAAGACTAGAGGACTATAAGTTTTCAAGTTTCCAAGTTTCCAAGCTCGCCACTCACTAGGCTGGCCAGATGCCTAGATCTGCAGCCCTAGATTATCATACGGCATTTGTTCTCATCTCCTGGCATGGTTTGGAGTTCACAGTTGGCAGGATTCTTGTGTTTCCGGATTTTCATGTAACACTACTGGTTGATGGCATACGACTGTACATATTTTTGAATTACGGGTTTCCGGCGTAAGTACAACACTTCATTGCAAACTATCATTCGTTGAGATTATACAGACGATTATTGCGTCTTCTTGGTGTTTGACGCAGCGGCAGAAGGTGCTGAGTAAAGCCATGCAACGACGAACACCAAGAAGCCAGCGATGACGGACCACAGACCCGCAATCCAGACCCATCCACCGCTGATCTTCCAGCTTCGGGGGTACTCGTTATGAGCGAAATGACGAACGGTCACCTCAAGTTTTTCTTCGATGTTGCTGAGGAACGGACGCTTGTAGTTCACTCGGAAGGAGAAGATTCCGTGTTGATCGGGGGTGGTGAATCGTGTGCTGTAGACTGTACTGTTGTCCGTCTGGCGGACGGGCTCCAAGTTCAGGCGATGGAATGGAGACAGCATGGTGAATTCAAGCTGAACGGCATCGCCAGTCGGAACCTCGAAGGGCACGTACCGATCATAGTCGTACTCGGAAAGTTCAATGCTAAAAACCTGTCGACAAGTGTTAGCATGCAAAAAGGCACTGAATCCTCAAAGGTTGTCTCTTACAGTTTCATTCTTGACCCGGTAGATCTTAGGGTTCAGCTTCTCAGCAGCGATTTCACCATCTTCAGCCAGATGATGCTCGATCTTTCCGACCTTGAGCACTCCGGTTTCCTTGAATGCCCATGCGGTAAGCTGCTTGGCGAACTCCTGGTTGACTGTCTCGGTCTGCTTGCCATCGCCGGGAGCCTTAACAGTCGCGGAGAACCACTGATCCTGCAGGCTCTCTACTGAGCCCAGCAGAGTGAACCGAGCGGAGTTTCTAGCCTGCATGGCCGAGACCAGAGCCAATTGCGAACCTGTAGCCACAACATCCTCAACTGATGACACGTCCTCCTTGGGATTGTAACTGTATGCAGTGGCGGGCGCTCGCAGAATAGGTGCGATGAGAGGGTTTGCGTCACCCAGGGTGTGAGGAACGGCTCTAGGAAATGCTACGACACCCTCACCGTCGAAGAAAGCCTTGGTGTCAGACCTCAGCTTGCCTGGTCGCTGGAGTAGCAGGACATCATGCTTATCAGAGGCAGAGAGTGTATCGTAGTTGAAGTGATCAACGGTAATAGAGGAACGGTCGACGGGGAGATGGAGATCGAGCTCCAACAACATTGAGCTGATGGCGCTGGCGGTTGTAGACTTGCCGGACAAGGCGAGGAGGACGTTGCCGTCCTTGTTCAGGAATTCAATGATATTCTTGGGGGCAAGGGAGGGTCCATAGCCTGCTCATGAGGTCAATTGAGATGTACAAAGCAGATCATATGGACATTCCTAAGCGCAACGCTAACCCTTTGACTTGGGAGGGAGGAGAAGTAGATGGTCGTAGACTCGGTCTCCAAGCTCGAACAGGCTGAGCTTGTCATTCTTGGGCGATTCAAAAACGAGGTTATATCCTCGAGCTACCAATTCATGATTAGCATGTAAACGCAGAATGTCAGTAATTGAGAGTACCTTCTAGATCTCCCCATAATTTTGAGTACAATTCCTTTTCTGCGGCATCTTCCAAAACAACCAGAAGACGACTGCCCGAGCTACTTAATGCATTTACAACTGCCAAGAAGCAGAATGACAGGAGAGTGAGGCACCACCGCATGGTATATCAAATTCCGCACAGCGGAGCGGGCAATTGGCTGGAAAGAAAATCACTGCAATCTAGAGAAAGAGAAAGAAATGAAGGAGGGAAATGAATCGGTAGAGGAGACTGTCCTCTGGAGCTTCGTCAGTTCCGTTCTGTTGGAGAGAACGGGCAACGTGTTTGGACCGAGAGTGCCAAGACCTCTTCGCCGCTTTGAACTGCGCAATCATCGGCGTTCGTCACTCACGACCTCCATTCGACGATTCCCCCCTCTCCGTCGCGACACACGCCCCTCTGGCGCTATCTAATCCAGTCTCAAAAGAATCGGACTTTTCGGAAGACAGAATTCGTAATTCGAGCCGAGCTTCGCTCAATTGATACTTTGATCCAGCCCATCCGTCACGCTCACGACCTTTAGCCGAATCCCGCAAAAATCCTTTTGAATCGTCGACTTGTCATCTCACAACCATGACTACCCCCCAATTCTGGTCGACTCCTCTCCGGTACCTTCGCTGGGCCTCACACGAGAAGCCAGCGATCTTCTACTCCTTGATCGTTGGAGCGACAGGTCCTCTCATGCTGGTCACCCTTCCCCCCATCAGACGGTTCTTCGGCGATGTTGACCCGGAACCTATTCCATTGACCTATCCCAGTAAGGACTTCGATATATTCTGCTCCTCTCATGCTTTCCTACGATCTATTCTCTGTTTATGTGGGGCTCCAATGCTAACATATCTAATCCCTAACTTCAGTTCCCCAAGGACCACGCAACATCCCGCAAGGCTACGATGACGAATAGATATCTCACGGGGAGGACGAGCGAAATTGATTTGACTTGCTAGGATGCTCTTCACTGGGGAAACTCGAGTCGCAACAGTATCGGACGTCGACACACTCTGTCGGGCACTGATGACAGACAATCCATTACCGGGGCTGCGTCAATCGGAAGTGCTTGCGGGTTATCATCTTTCATATCGAACAACCAGCGCGGAGCCCTTCAGGCCATTTACCTACCACCAGATGTCTTCATACCCGTGAAACCCCCTTGTTGAGCTTGACAGTGCGAGTGCAGCGGTGTATTGTATGAAAATGATTTTAGAGCGCAGACACTTCCATTCTCGTTTGAACTGATTTTCTTTACTTCTCTGCATATTCGCATCTCCGTGGAATTCCGGCTTCGAGGTACAGACTGAATTTCGTTTCTTCATAAATTACATCTCCTTTGCAGATGGCGTTGTAGGCGGATGCCGAACGAGTAGGTCCCTGCTTCGCTCGAAGCTCTTTAATATCCATGTCTTGTCTGGTTCAAGGAGTGGCGGCGATGGGTCGTTAGAAAACACGAACACGCAACGAAGATACTTAGGCTCAGGCAATTGGCTTCTAAGCAATCGTTGATTTGCAATTATGTCAGAAGTTGAGCGTCCTCGAACGTGCGGCTAGGACGACCCATAATTACACCAGCGTTGCCGGATCTTCAACGCAGGGAGTGGTCTGATGAAATCGCAGCTCCGAAGACCTCGTAGCCTTTCATGTTTTACACTTGGTTCAGCCGGTTTTTGAAGAGGAAATGAAGAGAAGAAGGTGAAGACAATGCTTTGAGTAGACCTTCAACAGCCTGAGTCAGGAACAGCAATCAGTTACCTAGTGTCAACAATGAACATTGAATAACCGCAGAAAGGAATAACGCCAGTTATGCTCATATCTACATGTAGATCGTGGACAACATCACCAAAACATCCAAGCTCTTAGCTGATGCTTTTCGGATCAGCCAGATGCTCCCATCAGAATCAGGACCGTGAGAAAAGGCCGTTACACTCCTCGACCAGAACGAAAAGAAACCGGAAAAACCATGGGAAAACAGACAACCACAGCCAGGACACCACCGAGCAACCAGATTGGGGATATTCCTCAGGACAGGGGAAAAGTAAATTGAACAAAGTGCTCGAATACCGACGTTACAATGCAAAGCCAGAAAGCCACCTTTAGGAACTCGTTACACAGAGCTCTCTTCCAGCCATTCACATCATTATTATATGGCGGGGCCGGCATCAAGAGTTGGATGCCATTAGCCAGACAAGGAAAGCAACGGCGAGTAGCGTCAGCGGAGATGCCAGGCGAAATGTAAAGAAAATTCCAAGGCTTATCCATGGCGAAGTGTCCAGGACTCTCAGGTAATGGCTCCACAAGCTTGCAAGTCGGATATGGATATGAAGACTTTTCGCAAAATATTCCCTTCGGCTTGGAATTCCCCATGGCAGAAACAACAAGACAGAGACCCCGTAGAACAGCCCGGATTAATATGCGCAGTACTCCAGGATGATTCTGTAGATTCATTATTTTCCAGGGTTGATTTACCCAGGATAGCCAAGGGTTTGTGACGAATCCTTGGAGGTATCATGACATAAGCAGCGAAGAAAAGGCATCTTTTTTTTTCTCTCTCTACCGGGGTCGACGCGGGGCCTGGCTCTCTCTTGTTGCCTGTGGCCTATTGCGGTCATACTCCGGGGTATATCTGGGATCCATTCCTATCCGGGGATCGGGAGCTGTTGTGGCAGGATAAGTCATTCCAGAGGTGACCGGGGAATAGTCCGACTCAGTTTCATAGCCAGGTCCTGTATAGCGTGGAGCATTACTTCTCCCATTCTCATAGGCATAGCCAGTGTTGCTCGTGTAGGTGTATGACGGGTGCATGTCGGCAGACACTGCGGGCTGGCCTGGAGCAGAGTAAGGGACTTGCTGAGGGTAGGGATTTTGTCCTGTTGCAAAAGGCGAGTGACTTGAAGGATAGGATGATGGAGCTGTGTATGAGGGGCTCTGGGTTGCACCGTATGGGGCCTGAGTGTATGGATCCACATAGGGTTGAGCAGGTGGTTGAGTGTATGTAGGTGGTGGAGATGGGCCAGTTTGCTGGCGCACTTCATGAATAGAAGAAGATGCGTAAGGCGCTGGGACCATATTAGGGGCTGGAGGAGCATTGTAGTCGTGAATGTAACTACCTCTTGGATAGCCCTGGTCAGCCCGACGCATGACGTCTGCTTCCCAACGAGCGGAGTCCGCTTTGAGATCAGCAATCATTTCCTGAGAGTGTAGCGGTCAGCCTGAAGTCTTGTCTCTGTTTTCTTCCCTGGGCCTTTCGATAGATATTGCACTGAGAAGGGGGGTTTCTTTCGACATACAGAAGTCAGATTTCGATAAGCACGAATGAAGTAGCCCTGACGACCCTGTTCGTAATGAGTCAGTAGGAAAGCAAACGGTAGGTTTTGATAGATTTGAAGTGCTTGGTTGATTTTAAGATAGGAGAGACTGGGAAACAGACATTATGGTTTCCGGGTCTTACGAGCGCATCATTTCCAAGGTAACGGCAAATGTCTGCTTGGATGACTTCCCGGCTGATTCCATCACCGGGGATAAAGTACTCGTTCTGACGCTCCGGGCGTCCTTCATATCCATGGCGTCCAGTCATTTTGTACCAGGAAATAGGTATCCAGTATTAAGTGATTAAAGGCAATGGATCCAAGTGGCCACAACGAAGTCCAGGGCGGTATAAAACAAGTAGCCGAGGTATCCAGAAAGTGGGAGGTTGACAAGAGATGCTCTCTTGGGTCGATTGCAAAAGAAACAGCACAAGTACAGTTCTATTAGGCCGTGTCCAGGGAACTCCAAGGCTGATGGTTCAAGGCTAATCCGATATTTCCTGTCCGTCTCGCAAAAAGCACACACTCAAAATGCAAGCTTGAAAGATGTGAACTGGTGGTTGGTTGATTATTTCCAGCGCTGGCAAAGAAGAAATCCAGGTAGTGCGTATTTGTCCACGGACGGCTGTCAAGGGCTGTCTTCCAAGATCCTGAAGTGACTTCCTTTTTTCTTTTTTCCTCTCTAATGATATAGATTCCAGGGCCGCAACGAAGTCATGCAAGGGAGAAGTCGAGGTTCAGGCCGAAACGGATGACCGAAGATCTAGGAGGGAGGAGATCAGGGGGGTGAAGCTTTGCGTGGGGTTTCTCTCTCCGGTTTGGTGGTGAGCTTGATACCTCCAACACTCCAAGAGTTGTATGAGAAATCTTCGGGCTGGCGAAAAAAAAATTGCCAGATTGCGCACTAGAAGAAAGAAGAGAAGGAAAGAAAGAAGAGGAGGAGGAAAATATCTACGTGGGAAAGAAGAGAAAAGGACGGGGAGATAAGAGAGGCTAAAGACGCCAGCTCAGCGCACAGAGGGAGAGAGGGGGTGTGGGCATTAGCACATTGGCAAGGAAAAACGACCAAGGACCAGTGGGTAGGTAGTGGTGTTTGTGCTCATTCGATTCGACCAAGCGCGGTTGGTCATTTGGGCTGTTGGGCCGGCGTATTGGGCTGCCTGGCCTTGTCTGGTGCCACGACGACTCCACCTTGTTATTGGTGAGAACTACGAAAATGATCGAGGGAAAAGAAAGGTAAACAAGAAAGAGGAAAATGAAAAATAATGATCAAGAACTGGCATACTCGCATTTACTGTAAGAGACTAAGCACCTACCCTACCAAGAGAAAGAGGCTTACATTCGCCAGGAAGCAGGATGACTGTGTTCCAAAGTGTCCCCAAAACATGCATGGCGACAAATACGGCTTGCAGAGGATTTTCCTGGGTCTAGTCGCGCTTCCTGAAAAAATGATTGTCTGGAGACCGTCCGTCTGGCCAGTAGTAAGGGAGGAGGCAAAATATAATCGTCGGGAAGTCTTATTGACGGTCTATTGGCCATGGATCAGTAGATCAGTATGAAGTACCTAACTCAAGTGATGCAGATGCACTTAATATACCTGCTGTCATACTATCTAGCCTTCCAGCCAGCAGATAGAAGAAGAGATGAGGACTTTGAAACTGTCAAAAGGCCACACCGGAAGGTAGATAGAAACATCCAAAGAGGTATCAACGGTGAGTACGGATAGAGACTGCGTAGCCCCATTATGACTCTTTCCGGTGTTTGCTTATATATCTGAATCTATTGTTTAATAATTGACCTAGTGACTCACTTGATAACTCGCACTCTGGAGTGCTCTCCATGATATCTCATAGGCATGCTGATATGCATGTCCAGTTGTTCCCACAATGTTTTCATGAAATGAGATTCAGTGATGGTTATGTATGTTGTCACGGTTGCCACAGTATCTACCAATGAGAAGAAAGAGACATTTTGCCAGTTTCCAGTTTAGAGTCTGGAGTTTCTGGTTCAGGATACTTAATATTGCCAGTACCAGTTAGCTACAGAGGAAAACTGACACTCTGTAGTACGGAGAAGTGGTCAAGTGAGGGACTGTAGCTGAGGTAATGGCAGACCAGGCCGAAGGAGGGGTGTTGAAAATTGGACCTCAGTCCTCAGGAATCTGTAGAGGGCAGACAGTTGGGCAGAAATGCGTGGCGGGCTAGAGGGGGCCTTTGGGCATCCCAACCCGCTCATTCGTCGATCCAGCATAAGGACCCAAGGCTTCAAGTCCGCCAATCTAAAGTAGGTAAGGTAACAATGTACTACCCGCCCCGGGCCGCCAATCGACCTCTGGTTGTGCTGGGCGCGTTTTTGCCCTTCATCCATGGATGAAATTCATCATGTGAGAAAGTGTACTTTTGAGATACTGGAGCCCCAGTGACAGCTGCCTCACTATGGCCGGTGCATGCGAGGTACTACTCTTGAAAGTTGAGACCCCTGCCTTGTTATGGCCTCTGATGGTGATCATGATATCCTACGGCCAATAGCCTACCATTCATTCCTGGTCTACTTACTGCATAGTACTTCAGATACGGAGTACTCGCGGCCTGTTCAACAGAAGCACCCTCACTTGACCTCACTTGGTCGGCTGCATGACCAACCCTTCTCTTTGTGAAGGTACAACACATTCTTCTCAGCTTGCCAGAGTACAAAACATCCTAACCTTCGACTTTTCTTCTTCGATCTTGCTTCTAACGTGTCATCATCTGAAGCATGATTACATGATCCTCTCTTTGCCAGGAACCAGACCAGCAGAATCAGTACTCTGAAGTTTCTGGTACAGGCCGTTTCCACAGCCGAGTATATGAGCGGGATCCCTGTTCCTTACACTGCTCTGTTGATGGTCGCTGGCTGAAATGTGTGCTCATAATTGCCTTGTACGCCCTACCAAGACTCTTCTCCCCAGAGTCGAAGCCTATCATCAGACACGGCAACTTCGTGATCCATGTCTTGCAAGCGGTGAATTGCTCAGGCCCATATCTGCTGCTCAAATCATATCAGAACAGGTGTCCTGTCTGTGCTGCATGGTTTCCATTAGTTGCTGCATATACCCTTTCGGCCTTGCATGGTCAGGAGTTGCCGAACTGAGACCTATTGTCCTTCGCCGTGCTTCCTGAAATGCTGTTCAGGCGGAGCTCTCTCTGGCCAGCAGTGTAGTCAATCTAAATACGGAGTATTCAGACGTGGTTGGTTCGTAGTGCCCTCACTCGGAAGGACGCCTTGATCAATTGAGGACATTGTTGTTTCGACTGTCTCGCTTTGAAGAGCTCTTTCGCTACTCCGTACTAGCAATGAGGTATTTGGCCGGAATAACTTACTCCAGCGCACTAGAACCTACAGGCCCATCCATGCGGCTGAAAGTCTGTCTATCTGGACGAGAATGTATACACAGTCCAACAACAGACTTGATTAGTGCATTGAGGCATGGCTCTCACCATCAATACTCACTAACAGCGGATTGTTGCTGAGATCCATGTTCGATCGCAACGGAGCTAACTGTTTCTGGTAATGGCGCGGATCCCCGCTAAAATATCCCGAACCCATGTTTTTGGAGTCGACCTGACGTGCACGATGAGAACCAAATTTTCCAGATCGGAACATGGTGCTGGGGAAGCGTCGACGACGTTACACTCACAAAATCAAGCATAGCGCTTGATACTTACAGACTTCGCCATGACTATGATACGGTCCACTTCGACATGTCTCGCTCGTCTCCGGATCCCTCTGCCGCTCTGTCGTCTTCGCCCAGCAGCTCCCTGAAACGCCAGTCTCAGTTCACTTACCGCCAACTACAGCTTCTTCGTCAGGGTTCGACGGCGACTCCACTGAGGGTAATCGCTCATATTGACCTAGACGCCTTTTATGCACAATGTGAGATGGTACGGCTGGGAACGCCGCACGAGACGCCCCTCGCTGTGCGGCAATGGGATTCGCTCATCGCGATCAATTATCCTGCTCGATCGTTCGGTATAAGCAGAATGATGTCAGCCAGTGAAGCGCAGAAGCATTGTCCCGAGATCGTTCTGCAGCACGTTGCCACGTTTCGCGAGGGAGAAGGCGGGAAATGGGCTTACAGGGAAGACGCATTTAAGAATATCAGTACGGATAAAGTATGCCTGGATCCGTATCGTGCGGAATCTCGAAAGATCCTGAAAGTGATGAAGGAAGAGCTCTCGAGGTGGTATGCGGATCTCGTGGACGGCGAACATGGAATTGGCTCGCAATATCAATTACAACCTGCTAGCCTCGAAAAGGCCAGTATTGACGAAGTATTTATCGACTTATCGCCGCTCGTATACGCTGGATTACTGCAGCGGCACCCGGAACTACGTGTCGCAACGCAGGGTGACGAACGCATTACTCCGTTGCCTCGCCCTCCGACAACGGCGTTGGAGTGGAATAATGAAGACTGCTTGATAGACCTTGATGAGAATGAGACGGAAGTTGACGATCCTGACTGGGATGATATTGCCATGCTCATTGGCTCGGAGATTGTTCGGTCAGTCCGAACGGCTGTCTGGAACAAGCTCAGCTATACCTGTTCCGGGGGCGTTGCCAGAAACAAGATGATTGCTAAGTTGGGAAGCGCTTGTAACAAGCCAAACAAGCAGACAATCGTCCGAAACCGCGCGATTCAGAATTTTCTGGGTGGGTACAAGTTTACTAAGATCAGAATGCTTGGAGGTAAACTCGGAGACCAGGTGGCTGCTCTCTTCGGTACAGAGCAAGTGAGCGATCTGCTGCAGGTGTCACTTGAGCAATTTCGTGCTAAGCTTGATGACGACACTGCCAGCTGGCTCTACGGAATCATTCGTGGTGATGATCGGAGCGAGGTGAATCCAAGGACCCAAATCAAATCCATGTTATCCGCAAAGTCATTCAGGCCGAGCATCAATTCTGCAGACCAAGCCGAAAAGTGGCTGCGGATCTTCGCGGCCGATATCTACGGTCGCCTTGTTGAGGACGGCGTGCTTGAGAATAGACGCCGTCCGAGAACTGTTGCTTTGCATCATAGACAAGGTGCTCAAGTACGCTCTCGCCAACTTCCTATTCCAGGTTCGGCAACAATCGACGAGAGTCTTTTGTTCGAACTTGGTAGAACATTGCTCCGGCAGGTCATCGGCGATGGACGTGCATGGCCGTGTGCCAACCTCTCCTTAAGCGTTGGCGGCTTTGAAGATGGAGTCAACAAGAATCAGGCGATAGATAGCTTCTTACTTCGTGGTGAACAGGCGAAAAGTGCTGCTCAAGTCACGAGAAATCCGGACTCGGCGGGTCCGGCGGAACCAGATCATCATGTCGAAAAGCGAAGGAAGATCGACAGCAGCGGGATCAGGGGCTTCTTCAATTCGCCCTCCGAAATTGCCTCTGAAGCTATCTTATTAGACTCAGATTCAGCACAGTCCGGTGAGAAAAAAGAAAGTGACGGTACAGGTGCACGTCAAAGCGAGTTAACCATGCCGCATGATCAACCAGTCGCGACCCCGTCCGCTTCATATATCTGCAATCGGTGTCAGAAATCGCTTCCAATCGACGAACAGAACGAGCATGAAGATTGGCATTTCGCCAAAGATCTCGAACTCGAAGAAAGACAAACAGCTAGAAAAAGTCAGCAGATGTCGCGTCCGAATAATTCGGATGCGCCCCAAGCTCGTGGAAGAGGTGGTCGCAGTGCTCGCGGAAAGCCAGAGAAAGGACAGACCCGGCTCAGTTTCGGATGATGGCTCAATTTGCTCTCGCTCTAGCATCTGACAATCTCCCGGTCTGCTAGGTAGCGACCATACGGCGAATGGCGTGGGCATATCGATCGACCAGGATTTACCTAAACCAATCAAAGTTCAAGTGTTACTGATATCGATTCACTTTTTGAAGCTTGATTGATGGTGCATGATCTTTTCCTTGATGAAGCGTTTCATACATTATGGGTTGCGTTCATGTTATCGCGGACCTTTCCAGAATATTAGATGTGATTCCCTCAGAGGCTTTTCAGGGGATTAGTGGTCTGTCCAGTATAGCCATCGTGTGTATACACGGCACAGCATCATTTCCTCCAATGGCCTTCGTTGGGAGCTTAACATTGTGAGCCAGGAAAGCATTGGCCACGTTTAAGTCGCTGTCTGTCGCTCCCCAGACTTGGTTACCAGAAAGCTGCGGCTTGCTCCTGGCTCTGCATTGGGGCATCTCAGTCTTGAAATAGGGCTACCTAATGACATCAGATAAGACCTTTGCTCCGTAGAACTACATCAAGATGTTCATCCGTGAGGACTGATGCGTAGCAAGAGAATGCTAGTCTGCACTTCATTTTATCCCTAAGACATTGCAGAAAGCATGTCGCTCTGTAAATGAACCCGACTCCCAAACAAGAGACGGCAGTACCTATTCATCTCAAGATCATCGATCCCGTCTCCAGTCGAGATACCTTATCTGGTACCTGAGTTGACCCGATGTCAACAAACCACGGTTCAAGGAACCACGCAGACTGGAGTATGAACCTATTTTCTACGTCAGCTCTTCAATTCCTGCTTTAGTTCCTATGAATGATCGTCGCCGCCTCAATTACTGCGCTGGATCGCTCGTATCTACGCCTCAACGAAAATGACTACTGCACGCCATGCTGCAGCGGTGACATCAGCAAACGCAGCCGCGGGGTTGGTTGTGCTGGTAGGCAGGAACTTTGTTCGCTGGCAAGGCTCAATCCATCCTTTTTACGTCGCAGCAAAGCCACTCATTCCGTCAGTATTTTCTGGCCTTCGGGCGGATTTTGAAATTTATCATCGACCAACATTCGGCTTCTATCTGCAAGTGGTCGTCTAGCGCTATCATTATTGCCCCTCGTACAGTGCCCCTCACCAATGAGTTCAATGCGTAGAAAAAGCATGACTCAACAAAACCGCACTACTTCATCGCTCTGATTCCATCTCAATTGAATACGACCTTCAGCGGACAGTCTCGCATCTCTCGGACTTTGAATATGTCCCGACGAGCACGAAACCATGAGTACTACGAGGAGGACCTCTACGAAGAAGAGAGCGATACATATCGACGTCCGCGGCGGTCTCGACGTGAACACTTCGCCGAAGACGATGAATTGCAATACGGACGTCGAATGTCCGCCCCGCTTCCCGTGGAAGAGCTGGAACGCCTACACATACGAGAACGGTCAAAGCCTGACTTTATTCGCGAGAGCTTTGATCCGCCTCGAAACCCTGGCCCCCTGGCTGTGATGCGAGAGCGGGAGGAAAGCGAGATGGATATGCCTCCGCGCGAGACATTGAGGGGCTACGAGCGGGACAGGCACGAGCCTCGTGAGCGTCGTGAGCGACCTCGGCATAGGAGGATCGCTAAGGAGGAGGATATTTACCTCCAGGAGGAGTTGGAAAGACGGAGGTATACAGGGGGTGAATCTGACGAGGGAGAAGTTGAGCTTTGGAGAGAAAGGCGGTCGATACCGCGACGTGACTTGGATAGCGAGGAGGACTTTGTACGCTTACGTCGCGACAAGAGAGGGAAGAAAGGCTCGCGGATGAAACACTCGGAACTTGAAATTGAGCGAGATGAGCTGTACCGCCGTGCACCCGACGCCAGGCGGGAGCATATGAGGGTTCATAGCGATGTTAGAGAACGTACCCCAACTGCACGCTTACAACCGAGATTTCACCGGCACACGGACGGAGACGAAGAGGAGGAAGAGGATATCATTATCCAAAGAGATGAGCGGAGGAGGGGTCGGAAGGGTAAATTCAAGGAAAAGGAAGAGATTATCATGCGGGAAAGAGAAATTTCGACATCCCCGGAGTCGCCAAGTTCGAGAGAGCTTTCGCAGGTTCGGAAGTCTCATACTACATCTCGTGGACGCATGAGCGATAGTGAGTTGCGACATTTAGCGCTCAAGTCAGATACTCATTTCCCATCTGTCGCAGGTTATGAAATGCCTCGTCCACCACGTGCACCCAGTCCAGAGCTTTCATCTCCGAGTAGCTTCGAGGAGTTGGAGATTCGTCACCGGTAAGCCGAGAATCATTACAATGAAGTTTGAAATACATGCTTACTTCTCCATAGTACACGAGGACGCCCAGCCAAAGAGAAGATCATTATAGAACGACGCAATGATGCTTCACCTCCATCCATCCTTTCGTCATCCGAATCTGACGACAGGAGCGAGAATGAAATTGACATCACTCACGCTAAATTCAAGACCTTGAACCGACAAGAGGACGTCTTAATCATGGAACGTCAACCCCAACGCCACGAAAGTGATGAAGAGGTCCAAGTCTTCGAGGAGGAACAGTACACCCGGCGTGATGCGGGAGGGCCTCAGCGGAGGAGCACACCGAAAGTCACGGTTGAAGATAAAGCGATAATCCGTTTTGACTCAGGAAGCAATGGCAGTGCAGACCAGGAGATGCGACGGGAGCGGCGTGAATCCGCACAGCGATCTCGATCCATCAACGGCCACGAAAGACTGTCTGACGAGAAGATCGATCACAAACGTGGTCAAATAGGACGGCGATACATCGGCGTAAAAGACAAGCGAGATCGTCTCTGGACAGAAATCACCAAGGACCTGGTGGTCAAGGAGGCCATTGAGCGGGCTGGCTATGAGTACGAGGAAACGGAGTCGTTCTATTACATATTCTCGTATCTTCGATATGTGAGTCTAGGCCTTCTTGTCCAAGCCCACACTTGCCGTTCTAAATTTCGTGGCTGCCTCTGCCCCAGCTGACAGCTCTCCACAATCATAGGACGATATATCAGCCCTTGTCGCACTATCGGAGGACATCCGCCGTGCACGACGCCAAAGGATTCAGGAGATCAATAGGGAGCGAGCCTCCATGCGTCTTCCTCCATTCATACCTGAACCAGTCACACCCGGTTCCGTGTTACCGGGGAGGCCGCCGTCTCCGCGTCTCCGACCTCGGGATGAGCGGAGACTGAAGAAAGAGCGGGAGCTCATTATCGAAGAAGGGCGATGGAGACAAACTCCAGCTCAGTCTGACAGATGGTGACGGAGCAAGTTCGTTTCATCGTGTGTGATTTGAGTGTGGCTTGCTCAATCGGTCGCCCCGACGCTCTCAACCCTCTTATGGAGTCATGATTCTGAGTCTGAAATAGATACCGACGACAGATACCCATGTTCTTTTTCTTCCTGTTTGTCAGCTACCTCTTGAAGTTTATCGCGTTTATTATTTTCGTTGCTCTCCTAGCCATTAGCAGACGCATGTCGGTCTGTCAGCGAATGCATGCCCCTGGTCTATCTAGTACTCTGGATCAAGTCACCAACCGTAGAAAGCTCAAGGCATGCCCAGCTTGTATCAAGCGTAGCCATCAAATGATATTCGAGGAATCGATGGATCTTCTCAATCTACCACCTTATCCACATGAATTTATTTATATGGCAGATGACGTGGATCTACCACTAGTGCCATTCGATATGTTCCAAACATGCAGCCCAAGGCCCCGAATGACCGATTAACTGTCTCAGAATCTGCGGATACTGTGTAGCAGGGCAGGTATCCGTACTCCGTACTCCATGTATGTGCGGTAAATCATCCTCCTCGACACATGTAACTAAACGCGATGGACGTATTTTGCACTATGCATCTAGCGAGTGATACTTGTAGTACTTACAAGAGTCCGACCATGAGTGTGGCAAAGCCGCAAAGGAGAGAGGATTCCCCATAAAGACCCCATGCACATATTAGGGAGGATTTCAGGTACATTGAATATAGCCAGAGATGTTTGATGAGTCATGTGCACTCGATGTTATAGTTATTGCCTGTTGTCCGAGGCCGCAGCAATAAGGGATGAAATTAGGAAAGGCAGTCTGGCGATTCGTCGCGGTGGCCAAACACAGTATTCCCAAATAGAGTAGACAGCTTATACGCAGTATCGACAATTGCCTGATGGAAGCTATTGAGAACAAGCCATCGAACCCATACTATACCATTTACCTACTACCTCGCCTTACCCGATACTGAAGTCGACTTTCGATGTAGTCGTAAATAGGTACCGTAGTAATGGCCGATCTCGAATCAGATGGAGACGGTAATAGTCGAGGTACAATACAATTCTACTCCATGACTCCAAATTTAGGACCAGACGCAAAATCGAAGTCGCAATGACATTAAAGGGTAAAGTAAGACGCCACAGGAGCCAAAGATTGAGTTTCCACAATGGAAATATATCGGGACAACGGGAACGGCTGCCATGGCATTAGTGGTCAAGTGTCAACTACTGATGCTATTTTAGTCTGGCTCATTCCTTTCGCTTCGGCTTGTTGTTGTTCTGTGCTTGATAGACTTTGATCCGGTTGGAATCTTTGTATAACCTCCTATGACGATAAAGATGAACAGGAAGAGACACTTCCGTTTCTGCTAATTTACCTGAGGAAATATTAATTGAGTAGTGAGAGCTTCTGTGAATAGGTAGCCAGTGCTGAAAAGGCCTAGGTGATACGTAGGTACTCCTGGTCTGTAAGGGATCGGCAATGACTAATCAGCGAATCGAGGGGCATTCCACTTTTCATTCCTTCAGCCACAATCAAAAGAAATGAAGGATGGATGATCGACTGATTATATGAGGGAGGCTAGTGGGAGTGGTGAAAATTACCAACATCAATGTTTGCATTCTTGAATTAAGGTAACATTACAGGTCCTGTTGTGCCCAAAGAAATGTTGCAATGGCAGAAGTTCTCAACAGTTGTGTACGGAAGCCACATGATCAGACATCAAGTGGTGGACAAAGAGATAAGCCTTGCCAAACTCCCGAGGCAGATAGATAGTAGACAAAAGGCAGTCTGCAGCTGAATTATTCCTGTTGTACTCCTTATTCAAGATTGATTCGTCCCAGACAGAAGTTCAGAACAAGCTCGGGAGGCTTTCCACTGATGATTGCCAAGTTGGCAGATGCATATATCAGAGCCGGGGTTCGCAGTATTCATGACGAGTAGACTTGGGCCTAAGTCATTGTAAGTCACTGTCGTTATCTACCTACCTATTCGAGCGACGATCATAAGTACGGAGTAGTACCTAGTCATTCCATACTCCCATGGCTGCCTATCAGTTCCGACAGGCTAGGACAAGGAAGAGTGCGAACCACTAAACGAAGTCAAGGGAGAAATTCGAAAGGCGGGGTTCGCTTCTTTATCAATCGACCAGGGTAGGCACCGCTAGGTACTAGAGTACCTTGGAAGTAGTTGTCGTCACTTGCCCTTGTACCACAGTTGATTGGTCAGAGGTAGGGCTTAATTGTAAGTACTGCAGCGATGCAACTCCCGCATAAGTGCGAGATCCTTGCTGTGCAGGGAGCCGGAAAGTATGGGATGCATATTTTGTACATCTGTAGTCTGTACATCGACCGTTTTCTAGGTTATTCCTGGTAAATCGTGCTATTTGAGCCGAAAGTAGCATATACCCGAGGTGACGTCGTGGGTTGGCACTGTTCGAGCGAGTTCGCGCAACCGTTTCCGAGCGGCTTGGTGGAATGGATGACGAGAGACGATTCGTGGAGGTGATCGAAAAGATGGATGCCGTATAACGTCGTTATAGAAATCTTCCTCGACCAAGCTGACGAGTCCCTGAGCAACAGGGACATTGCCAGCCAGAATGGACATGGTTCGATGGCGGGCATACATCACGAACACACCAGAAATATATACTTCACCCACCTCAGCTGATGATGATAGTATTATCGACAGAGTTGCAGCTGTTGTATTTCCATGTAAACAGCAGTTGCATGCTTTGAAGCAGAATTCTAGACCCGAGGATCGCCGGCTTGCTTCTAGACTTTCATGCTACACGAATGTTTCCGTCATCATGATGATATTGTGGAAGTAGCCTTCATGTGCCAAAGTGCATAACACTGGGTTTCTGTACCATCAAATCACGGGTGGAAGATTTATCTGGGCTCACAAGTCATTCTTCAGCCTAGGATATATCATTTACAGCACCCATGGATTTCCTCAGTGGCTATCCTTGGTTACCAGCACGGGATGGGTCAAAGAGGTACCTTGGTAATATAACATACCCAACCACATACCTTAAATGATGCTTGATTAGAAAAGCGATGCAGGACAAAACATGAGAGCTGAGATTAACTCCTGTCAAATGCTCAAAGCCTTGAGAGTAAGGACAGATTTAACATTCTAGGCCATCCATTTGTTTCCAGAATCAGCAACCCAGTCGCCAAGATGGAGCGCCACTTTCCTGGATACCTTTTCCTGATGTTGTTGTGAGTGGCTGGGAAGTGATGATTCAGATTTGGAGAAATCCACTCATTTTCAAGCTCTCGATTCAGATCATGAATCGGCTCCCATTCTCAGGCCTCATCTTCTCGATGGAGATATGACATCCCGAGGCATTTACCTCAGGAAGGGAACATTCACTGGACGGTATGTGACGATTTGGAATCAGTACCAGACTGGGTCTCGCAAAATCCAATGAAAGTTTCCAGATCCGAGTCCGTGCTCCTGTCTCGGACGTTGAGTTGCTTGGAAATCGACGGGAGGGGTGACCGGTAGATCCCATTTCCCAGTACCATCTGTAAGGTAAGTTTTGTAAGGATCATAGATAATATCCATCCATGTGAAAGTATTGGAATGTGAATAGTTGAAATTGTATTTAAAATATTCAGTATACATTGCAGAATGTAAGGTAGAGTAAGATGATTTGTACAGAGGTGGTACAGAGTACGTATGCCCGCTTTTCGAAACTCCTGCCCGGCTGTCGAATGGAATGACGCGGCCGATGGATGTCTTTCAGCTGTCCCATCAGGCTACTTCTGTAAGGAATTGATGTTGATGATTGAGTCTAGAGTAGTCACATAACAACATGGCTGCGTCGAAGCATGTCAGTAAGATTATACTTTAAATGTACTTAAGCTTTGAACTTGCCTAAGATCTAAGTGGTCTCAGCTTGATATTCATTCGCATCAAAAAACTGCGATTCTTATTAGTAGGTAGGTAATTTGACCTCATGTAACAGCCTGTGTAGCAAGCATGGACCATTACATAAACACGTAAGGTAGCAATGAGAAGCCCCTCTGTGTGTATATTGTTTTTTACACCACGAAATCATCTATGTCCATGAAGATACAGTGATGGCGTCTTTTGCAGTGGACATTTTTATGTACATATATTTTGAATTATCTTTGGCAGTGGCGCCATGGCAGTACCCCTAACATTATCATAATTGGTATTCTACCTACTACGGATTGTCCGATGTTGTTGAAGCTCGAAACAAACGCACTGACTGAGCTTTGATCTGATGTTTATTTAAAATTATTATTAATGGAGGAAAGGTATTGTTAGAAAAGTAGACGATGCTTGATACTACAGTGTCCTATCTCAGACTCAAATCCCAACCTTATTATGACAGAAAACTTAAATAACATTCTATATCCTCAGTGCCAGTACCAGTAGATATCACCGCATCCTGGAGACTGAGCAACCTATTTCGGAGCCTCTACTAGAAACATCATAATAATCAGACACATCGTGTCGTATGTATTTCTTTAAAAAAAAAATCCACAAGCCATTCTCACAAAAAACAGGCTGTCCCAGTCTGGCCGGCAGAGCTCCACTGCCATGCGGGTAGGACGGTAGGACGGTAGGTACGGAGTACTACTCCGTACTTAGGTACTATGCCAATCTCTCTCACGGATATCCATGAATGTGGCTTCATATACCCATTCTCCGGTACGGAGTAAAGATCATGTTTCGAATTCAACTTGCAAGCATGATGATCAGCTTGCCTGCCATGAACCCTCTTGCCTTTTCTTCTGGACTTCAGGATTGTGTTTGTGCTGATATACAGCTTATGAACATAGTATTAAATGAAAATGACCATGCTGTCTCATAATGAATCATGACTACTCCGTACAGAGTAGAAATAGCAAATTAGCACAAGACGCAAGTATTTTTGTCTTCCTGGGATCCATCTTAGAGGCTGCTTTAAGTGGAACGCTACTGCGTATGGATCCACTTATCCTCGATACCTAGGTTCCAGTGTCATGTTTTTGTTTACAAAGTATAGGCATTCCAGTTATTTTCACAAAGCATGTTACATTAGCATCTCTACCTTAGGTATGATAGGTACCTACCTTAGTACCTTACAATTGTACAATGTCATACCACCATGTATTGATTCTCTATTATTTATTATCATTATTTTTAAGTTTGGAGACTAGACAAGATCCCGGTGCCTCTACAAAGTGCTAAATACTGCTTCCCAGTTTCCACTGCAGGATGTAAATTAATTCACCCAACTGACACGCAACTTATCATCGTTCAATCCTGTTCAACTCTCCCGCTGTCGAAACATCCTCCTTCTGCCTCATCCATCCCATTCTTTTTCTCTGATTCCCCGTTTCTTTTGACATCTGGGGATTTCCATTCGCTTCTCCTCTAGCTGTCTTTCGTTCTGGCTCCTCCCACTTTCCCAGTAGCTCAACTATCGGTCGCTCGACATTCACTCTCTGGCTGCCATGCCAAGGAGCCTCTAATCTCATCGGCTTCTCCGATTCTGCCAAATGCCTCGTTCTGAGCCCCGTCACAGGAAAAAGCAGGTTTAATTTCAACCGAATTCTTCTGCTTGGAGGCTTCTCAGCTTCAATTCAGAATAATCTTGTGAGTGCTTTCCTGATCGAACTTGCACCTTTCTCGTTCTAGGTGCCATCAAATCTGTGGCTCATGCTGGATCGGCACGACTAATCTACTCTTAGGTTTCAGAGCTTATCCATCTACAGGACTGGGGACGGTCGTTCAACAATTGACTTTTACACTCTCTGAGGTGTTGAACATATTTCAACATTATTCACCCACGAAGCAGATGTTCTCAGCATCCCGTGGCTTGCCGTAACGCTCCGTCGATTTAACGATTCTTCCTTTTCCGCCTGCCAACCGTCAACTACATGATCCCTTGGTGACAGGCCCAGGTGCAATTTGAGCATAATAGAGGCACGATCGAAAGAATTGCACAGTTCCAGAAGTCTGTCGAACTAGGGGTGTACACGGACAGGACACAAAAATAGGGGGTGGAATACGATATCTCCTAATCTGCACTTGCCAACCCAACTTCACCATGGTCTTCGACTTGAGTGTTCTGCTGCTTGCTTTGCTTGCATCGCCAGTTTCCGGAGCTTCCGATCTCACCTATTGCTCTTCCGTAAACACCGGTTCCTCATTCTCTGCCAGTATGTAGTCGTGGAGACCTCTTTCTGCCACCAAGTGATATCTGATCTCTTTCTCTCCACAGACATCAGCATTTATCAGTCGAATGGACTCTGCACGGATACCTGCAACGCCGATTATGCCTTCGCAATCCTGCAGGGTAAAGAATGCTGGTGCTCGAACATAGCACCCAACAAAGCTACGAACACCGACACTTCGGATTGTGACGTAGGGTGTCCAGGGTATCCGGCAGACAGCTGTGGAGATGCCTCTAAGGGCCTGTATGCTTATATTCAGATGTCCCTACATAATCCTTCGGGCACAGCAGCAGCTCCATCGTCAACAAGCACGACAAAGACCACGGTCAGTAGCCTTTACCTCGAACTTCGCCCCCGCGCGACTCATTCGTTTCCAACCACTCTGAGGAACTCTTGAACTCTCATTGCTAACGTCACTGTAGTCCGACAAATCCAAAACAGAGTCCACTGACTCCAAAACAACTACCACAGCACCTACGACTACTCAAAATACTGTTTCGGTTGAGACTATTGCTGGTGAAGTGAAGACTATAACAGTTTCGGATACGAAACCAGCTGCAACAACGACCTCATCCTCTTCATCAGATTCACAAAATGGAAGCTCTGGAGTTTCGGCTGGAACTATTGCCGGCGCTGTTGTTGGCTCTGTCGGTGGCTTAGCGGCAATCGTCGCGATTATCTTCTTCGTCCTTGCATCCAAACGTCGCTCGCGAGCTCAGAGCCCCGATCCGAGCGTTTCGAACGTTCTGCTCGATGGAAGGCAAAGCAAGGGCTCTCAGATGAGTTTCGTGAAGGGCATGTTCTCGGATGGGCATAGTCACACTTTATCCGCCGGATCTTCGATAACACCCCAACGTATGCAAACTTTTACTGATAACCGCATGAAAACGGACACTGTACTTTATGGAGGTGGTCGTCGGGATAGCGACCTGTCACTCCAGGATAATGAAGACTACTCACGTCCGGTGCTGCGGGTTAGTATTTTCCCACTCGTGCGCAGCTCGACGAGCTTAATACTGATATATTTTTCATAGCTGACAAACCCCGACTGAACACGGAATCTCTGCACTACGAATTTCTTTGCTTTCTGCATCTTGGAATCTCCTTCTCTTGTGAATTCAACTTGTGCGACTCGGCGAAACCAGCGGTCTTATGATACCCAATTGTCACATAATCCTTCTTTTCTTCCTTACATTTGAAGCATCGACCTTCCTTCGGTCTCAATGGCTGCAAGCTCTTGGGCATACAACATGTCCATGGCTGCGATTCGGAACCTCAGTGAGGGTATCAGCGAGCATATGAACGACAGTCAAATCACCTTGATTGGGGTACATTGTCATTCCTCAATGAGCTACGATTCTCATTTCCAGCCTATAGGTTCTCTTTTGAGCTCGACTTTTTTTTACCACTGAGCATTGTGTACTTGTGTACATCAGAAAGTGCATGGCAGCTGTGTTATTGGTGGGAGTACATACATAATGGGTTTTCAGACTGCCAATCTTGATACTATTGTCATCATTAATCCTCGGGGGGCACCTCCTCTTGTCGTCTTATTGTTTGAGTGCACTTCTGACTTGTCATTCGTCAGATCTCACGAATTTCCTTCAGTTTCTTCTTGTCAAAATAGAATTGTGGGCTGGCTGAATACAAAGTAATTGAGACTACAAGTTCAAGGAGAAGCTGCTCCGTAATAGTCTACTGTACTTCTCTTGAAACGAAACCAGGGCACATTTGTTCAGTACTGTGTGATATTATCGCAGCAAAGACCTCCCAGAGACTTCCAGTGAGCGGTTTTGTTTGTTAAACTAAAAGCAAGAAATGAGGCAAATCAGACCAAAACCAGACCAACGCCGTCTAAAGAACCCAGAAGCCAATTTCCAACCATTCCCAACCACGGACACCTGAGATCAGCAAGCACCGTCTGGAAAGAATAGGCACTGGATAGTACAGTACATACCTTCCATTGACGTATCCGACTCGGACAATTCTATGCCCATTCACCCGTCACAGACTAGATGCAAGAGAATCAGTTAGCCGCCCTCCGCGAGAGATATTTGACAACTCCAGCGAATTTCCCTGCCACATCCGCAGGCGTCTTACCATAAATATCCCTCGCGTTGACATCTGCATTGCCCTTTTCGACGAGAATCCTCACGACCTTCAGCCAGCCGACTTTAGCCGCGGAATGCAGAGGAGTCCAGCCACCAGCATCTGCCGCGTTGACGTCTACTGTAATCCTGGAAAGCAGCAGACGGACGACACTCGGCACGCTCTTCTCCAACCAATAGTGCCTGTTCTCGCGCACCGCATAGTGGAGCTCCGTGCAGCCCCATTGACCGGCGATACCAACCTGGATTCCTTGCTCGAGCAGCGCCGTGGCGATCGATAGGCTTCTCTCCGCAATTTCTCGACCAACATACTCCATGCTTTGGTAGATCGCCTGCTCACTGAATTCGAGGGCGGCGTGGAGGGCGGTTTTGCCGGCGTGGTCCCTAACGTTGATGTCAATACCAGCTGTGATGAGAGTTTTGGCGAGTTCGGCACTGCCCTCATAGAGGGCTGACCAGAGAGCTGTCTCACCACTTGTCGTCTGGGAGGAAAGCAGCTCAGGGTACTTTTCAATAAGGAAGATAAGGACATCTGGGTGGTTAATGTTTTTTGCAGCCTGGTGGATCACAGTGCTGCCATCAGAACTGAGTCTAAAGTTTGGAGTCTGGTAGATCATAGTCCGGTCATCAAAACTGATTTGTCTAAAGTCTGCACCTTTGTCAATGGCGAGTTTGATGACGTCCAGACTGCAACGACCAGCGAGGGTGGCTATGACCTTTGCTTGATAATCGGCTCCTGCACTGATCAGCTTTTTGACCATCTCCTCGCTGAGAATTGTTGCGTCAACGACAGGCGAGCTATATGGCGAGCACACGTCGTGCAAAGCAGGGTTAGCACCGTGCTCGAGCAGAAGGTCCACGATTGGCTCGCAGTCGGCGCGGACTGCCAGTGAAAGCATGCGTTGTCCGGCCAAGTCATATGCGTTCGGGTCGACACCTGCTTCTAGGTAGTTTCTTACCTTGTTGACCTGATGACCCCGGATGGCTTGAACGAGGCGTTGGGGAGGCAAGTGGTACGGCCATTCATGAAAACGAATCCTACCACCATCCTCGTCAAATATGATTCGCTGTTTGTACTCAGCTTCATCCGGGAGGGCATACTGCTTGGCTGCTCTGGCCAGGGGACGTTGCAACGTACCGTTGATTCTCCGGGAGGTTTGGCTGAGACTGGCCACTGATAGAGGATCCAGGTGGTCAGAGATCGCTAGGAGGATTTCGGCAGGCAACTGCTCAAGCTGTGACATTTTGGCTTGAGGAGTCGCTTTCCGCTTGAAAGATGTCAATGAAGGTGGTCAACTGCGCGGATTGTGTAGAGTATCTTTGGGTGATTGTTGAAGGGTTGAAGGGTTGAGTGATATGTTAGTGGAAAAAGATATGGCACATCTGTGGGCTTTCGCACTCGTTTTATATTCCCCAAATGAGACATCCTGATGTATTCTCTGATTCTCTGCACGACTATGAGACAATAACCTGTGAGAACAGCAGTGGGTTTGGAGACACTCGACAAAGATTCTTGGAGACATTGTTCATTGCTGCACGTTATGGAAGGCTCAGAATGAAAGACTCTTCAAGGGAAGTTGCAAGACTGTCAGTCTCATAAGCTAAATTTCTCGATGGTGACAACTTTTCCTCGACGACTTCGATGTCGAGGATGAATCTCGAGCAATTACCGAAAGAAGCCGAGTTTCCATCACACGTTTGTTCTTTCATCTTCTTTGAGACATGCCCTTGCCCGGTGAACAAAGAGAGTGTCAATGGCCTTGTACATGTTTCAGGACCAGAGTGGAATGAAGGCCTCAAACCAAGGGAAGAGATGTATCTCCAGTATATCGAAGGCTTCGAGAGTAGCCGCAGCATGACAAAGGTGACAAAGAGTCCAACCTGTTCCTTGATGGTCAGTCTACAATGTCCCTCTCTCTTCATCAAAGCATACGCTGTACGAGAGAGTGTCTATTATAAATGAAAGACTTTGTGTGAAAACCCAAGCCAGACAAAGGCATTAGAGACCAGAAAACATTGTCGAAGATGAAAGGGAGGATACAATGCAAACAAAGCACATGACCTACCGGGACAGTTTTGCCCGTTTGGGAAATGCGGACGTGCGCTTTGTCTTCCCTCTTCAGTCAGCGCAATCCTGTTATCGACTGATTCAAAGAGATGCTCCGAGGGAATACAGTCTGTTATCCCTCGATCCGCTGGGTTCCCCGCTCCCCGCTTCGGATCTCGAGATGTATCATGTATCTGCAACTCTATCCTTAACACGATGACATCATGAGTGATATCCAAGAGTTCCAGAGTCACCGTGAGATCTCGACGATGGCTGGCATCTGTTGAGATACAACAGTAGATGATAGGAAAGCTCGCTGTCTACTTTCCGGCACGATCCTCCTGACATTGGATGCAAGGAAGCCGGATGGTGCTACAACATGCGAAGCCGCATGCTGAAAGGTAACTTCGTTTCCTGATGCTGCTACTGCTACTACGAAGCTGAATGGTCAACGCTAACACGTCGCAGTCATGGCTCGGTATACTATAAGAAATCAGATCCGAAGGTCTATTCTAACCAGTGCTATTGTCTTATCATGTTGCAGTCCCAGCGTCATCCTTATCTGATATCTGCTTCTCCGCACCAAACGTAGTAAGTTCAAGCAGGTCACGATAGAGCATATCCTTGGGAATACGGAGTAGAGAGGAGTCCTGCTCGATCACACTTCTCGTGTCTGTGGTTGATTGCTTTTTCTTATACCGCAGAAGACGCCCTTACAAATCTAATCCCTTTCATGAGTCTTGATGCCACTTTTGTCCTTGCCAAACAGGCATAGCCATATTTTTATGCCCTCTTTCATTTATATATCGTTTCACGAGACACATGAGAATGCAGATATTCGATATGCTCGGTGACTGGTGGTTGTTTGGTCTGACCGTGACTGCGCTCGCTGGACTATTCTTCACCTTCGATCGATCCCAACGCAGGAAAGTCTGGCCAAGAATAAGTCTTCGGAGCCGCAAAGCGTCAACTGCTGGAACGCCTCCAAGATCCATATCACCCGACAAGAAGCCGGTGATCGGTTCCGCGTCCCAAGTGAACCATGCCGATGTTTTACCACCACAGCGTCGGCAAGCCCTCGCTGCCTTGCGAGAGAGCTCGGCACAATTGAAAGACATTGACGAAGCCGAAATCAGACAATTCATTCTGCCGATGACAATGGATTACCGAAATTGTCAAGAAGAAAGGTATACTCCGACAGGGTTCTCAACAGAGGAGATCAAAATGTTAGGAGATTTCCCGGACTATGCAACCCTAAGTGGTGTGCCTCTGCCCCAGCCATACCATGAATTTGTCATTGACAAGGCCCTACCGAGGCCATATCGTCCATTCCGGTGGACATACCATCAAACCATGTGTAAGTCTGCCTGACCAGCACCAAACCGTCCACTAGAACACCCCCACAAGCGGATTTAGGAGCTGACAGTCATCATTTCTCCTGCGTATAGCACTGACGAAAATGGAAACGGACTGGTGGATTGAGCTCGAAGGCACATACAAAGCTCGAATCGCGCAACGCAAGGAATTATACGCAAAACACGGCTCATCAGTGCTCGGCTATCTTCCGGGCTCTGAATTAGCCTGCAAGGAATTGATGGAAATGGTCTTGCAGTTTCTGTGCGCCCGGTATCCTCAGTACTTCTCGCTAGTGGGCAAGCGGATATTCAAGAACAGAATCCTCGACACCGAGCAAGACATCAGAGCCAGACATCCTTTGGAGATTCTCCTCGACAATGTACCCGAAGACTTTGCGATCATGCTGCGCGATGATGAGACAGGCTTCTATTTCCTCCGTGCGGCAGTCGTCTGCTCTGCTCTGGGATGGAACGTTGGTTTGAAAATCGGACTTCAGCTCCATCAAATCCATGAGCCGATTCCGGACTATAAGGAAAAGATGCAATTCTCTATGGATCGGTAGGTCCAATGTACAAGGAGAGTGGCAAGACGAAGGGGTCGCTGACAAGTTCTCCGCTAGGTTCTTTACCAAAATGCCAACAGACAAACCAATCCAGAGAGGGTCCTGGGGTCTAGAGGTCGGGAAGCCTCTGTATATGCCCCCAGGGGACCCTCATGAGAAACTTCGCTTGTCTCAAGACCCCGGCCTCCAATTGGCAGATTGCAATCTGCGAGTGGACTGGCAGACGCTGAGACGTCTGCCTCTGTCGGCAGCGGTCGTCTTCAATTTCAAGGCACTTTTTACGCCCGTGTCCGAATTTCGTGATGAACCTTGCGTACCAGCTTTGGTAGCCAAGGTCCTCAAAGAAGGAAAAGAAAATCTAATGAAATATAAGAATACATGGCACGTGGAGCATATCGTGCTTCCGAAGCTTGAGGAATGGGCTAAGGAGCAGGAGGAGCAAGGCCTCGTAGACAAAAATTGGCAAGTGGCTACCTTGGACGAGAGCCCTTGGTTCAGGAATTGGGAGGACAAGTGGCATCGCCAGCAAGGTTTTTGATTAGTTTGTCTGAAGTGTCCAAATGACGTTCTTGGTGGTTCTGTATAATCTTTATTATCGATATATACCAAGCTGGTTCTAGTTATACACATACCTACAGCAAACAAGAAACGTACCTACATGATATGTAGAGTCGGGTATATTGAAGCAAGAATATTCGTCATTCTGAACAAAGATCATCATCTGGTGGCGGTCGGTGAGTTTTGTCATAGAGTTCTGAACTCGCTCGGGGGCCATTGTTTTGCCCAGAAGATTCCCAGCAAAAAAATATTGACTGTTCTTCTCCAAGCTTCGACCGTGGACTCTGGATAGCTTCACCGGGCATATGGCAACGAGGATGCTTTGAGTCAGCTCGCTAATGAGACGGCGCCTCCCCAATCTAGCTCGCGCCACTGAGTGGCGCGAATACATGAGGGGCTGAATCCCCAACGGGGTACGCATCAGTCCGGCAGAGACAATGGCGGCCAAGAATTGTAGAGTGTCCGAAAATTTTCGAGATGCCAATTATGGGGCCTAATGACCCGCTCACTCGTCTCCAGCGTCCCCGTTAGACCGTGACTCGCTATCGTGGCTGCCTTGCTCGCTCTCCTTATCCAATTCTTCCAGTTCGTCCGCCAAGGGACTGACGCGCTCGTCCAACAAATCCAAATCCTCCAACTGCTGCCGTGACGGTAACTTCCAAAGACTAGTACCGCACACACGGTCCTTCGTCAGAAGATCGTCGACAAATTGATCCATATAGGTAAGCACAAACGAGTCGCGTACTCGTCGCTTCAGCTTCCTGTAGTCGAGAAGGAGAGGTTCCAATGTCTTGTAGACGTCGACCGGGTCAAAGGTCAAACGCACGTAGAATGCCGCTAGGGCCCGGAGGTATTTAAAGTCCCCCCGTTGTCCAACCACGCCATTTCGAGCCTGGTCCTCCGCCGCGGCCTCTGTCTCTTCGTCACTGCCCGGATCGGTGTAGTTTAGATATTCCAAAATGATGTCACGCTCGGGGTTGAGTTGCAGCAACTTGAACGCAAGACAAAGAAACGGGGTGGGTTTCTCGGCGACACCATATGTACCACCGACAGAGGTCAATTCAACTGCGCGATCGCAAAGTGTTGCTGCGTTTAAACCGAAGCACTGTTCTTTCCAGTAATATGAGTCTGTGATGCGGTCGCGAACGGCTTTCTCGAACAGTGTGGCGGGGTTGACGCCGCGGACCAGGGGGCCTGAATAGCCACGATTGTCCAGGAGGGTACTCGCATCAGCACGATGGGAGGCCATGATTGAAGCGAATCGGAAAATCGCGACGTGGACACGACTTAAAAGGTTGTCCGCGAAGAAAAGAAAGTTGGTGGGACGGAGGAAGATTAGCTGTGGCTGTGGCGCTGAGGCTGTGCCAAGACGGACTCTTATCGATAGTCGCACCGACAACCACCACAAAGATAAGTGGAGGTGCTGCTGATGCAACGTATGTCTCAGGTCTACTGTTAGCAGGTTTGGAGGCTTTCATTTACAGGCCATTTATCAATAGGCGATCTTGATGATGCATGCTATATAATTCAATTGTATATGGTGATGTTTTATAGTCGTATGTTCGATGCTCAATTCATGCATTGTTGTCTTTCGTACATCTCAGGAACATCAACACATATTACCCGAAACGGAAACTAGGTCGCCGTCCAAGCATACCAACTGATGCGGACTTCAAGTTACACACAATCATGGTGCTTCTGACCTCCTCGACAGTCTCAGT